ATTTCTACAATATTAAAATTTGCTTATAAAATTATAATTCTTAATCATGCAGTTTATTTTGTGCAAAAAATTTCTTGTCTAATAAGACTTAAATTAGATTTTTATTCATCACAAATAAACCGAGCAGCATATTAATTAATTTTAGCAATTAAAATATTTTTATAAGTTTAATCAAATGAAATCATAAACTGTAAATCATAATAAAATCATATTTTAGAAATTTTCATTAAAATTTATAACTTTAATAAAATGAAATTACAAATTTGTAATTTCAAAAAGTTATTCCAATTAATATATTTTAAGAAGTTCAATAGAATGTAATTATAAAAGTTTAAATTTATAATTTCAAAATGTTACTTTTATAAAAATTATTATTTATAGCTATAATTAATCAATTCATTATTAAAAACAATAAATGATAAGTATTATTTTTCTATGAAGATGTATATCACTTTGCTATTAATTTACTTTTTGTAATATTTGTATAGAAAGAAAATTTTTGAAATGATCCCAATTTGCTGGCTCATATGCTAATGAGAAATATCAATAGAAATTTATCGTACTTTTTTTAAATCAATAATTTAATATTAATTGAAATGAATGAATTGCTGGAAAGAAAAATGAAATAAGGAAAGAATTAATATTATTAACTTTTACAGCATTTTAAAACATCTGCCAGATGTGCTTATTACCAACTTTCTTCAATTTATTATTTGTTGTTATTATTTGATTTTCCTCTATTAGTATTAATGAAATAAAATATCGTTTTCCTATTTTTTTCGATAACTAGGAAATCTCTTTTATATTTTACTTATTTCATAGTTTAGAAAATTAAAAGGAATAAATAGGAAATTGAAAATGCTGTAATTTGGGTAGAAATATTTTAACAATATTTTATTTGCAGCTGTCATTTACTTTGTTCCGATACTGTCAAGTAACATAAAATTTAGAATCAAATTTATTTATAATTAAGAAATCATTCATGATACATAATCGTATACAATTATTATTGTCAATAAATTAATATTCAAACAGAAATAAATTGATATCATTCCGATCTGTATTTCAGTATATATATATAGCATTAAATTTTATTTAAAAAAATTTTTAGATAAATTGTCTGGAAATAAATTTAACTTTTTAATGGTCAATTTTTTAAAGAAATTTTAATATACTGCAAAATTCAATACGCTACTAATTTATTTCGACATTTATCACTACTTTAAAATAGAAATAAAATTTACATTCTTCGAATATTCATCAATATATTCTTTATCAGTTAAAATTTCCTCTATGATAATTAATGAAAGATATACATATATTTCTTACATTTTATTATTTAGACAAATGATAAAAATTAATCTTCTAAGCAATTATCACTATTTCAAAATAAAAATAAAACTTACATTCTTCAATTATTTATCGATATATTCTTTATCAGTTAAAATTGAAATCTTAACTCCCTCTATGATAATTAATGAAGGATATATATTTCTAAAATTTTATAATTTAAACAAAAATTTTCTCTATGATAATTAATTATATATATATATTTCTTACATTTTATAATTTAGACAAATGATAAAAATTAGTCTTTCAAACAATTATCACTAATTCAAAATAAAAATGCAATTTGCATTCTTCAAATAATCATATCAGTTAAAATTTCTTCTATGATAATTAATTTATATAATTAAAATTTCTTCTGTGATAATTAATGAAAGATATATTTCTAAAATTTTATAATTTAAATAAATAAAAAAAGTTAATCTTTTAAATTTAAAATCAAAAAATTTTGTACATAAAATTTTAATTTATTCTTTGTCTTTTTGCGAATATAATACTTTCTTTAATTGCCATATTGTTTTAATAACAAAATTTAATGAAAAGAAAAGAAAGGAAAGAAATTAAAAATCTTTTAGTGTAAAAAAAGGCAAAATGAAATTATTAGTAGGATTGGATGTGAAGGAATTTTGCGTGACCTAAAAATATGAAATGAAATAATTTAAATAATTTCATTTCCTTAGGGTTTTATTTTATTCCTATTCATTCCCTTTTTTTCTTTCGTCGTTATATTTCGTTTAAGAATATCATATTGTCTTGAATTTTTAATTTTAAATTCTTCAATTTCTAATTTCAAACAATTTCTATTTATAGAAACTAAATGAGCTTAATTTATGAACGAGATTATGAAAGATTAAAATGAAGTGAAGTAAGCTTTTCATTCATAAATCTTCATTCTTCACTTTCGCAACTTATCTTACTTTCCTTTTCATTTTAGTATTATCTTCACTTATCTGATGGTACTCAAATTTACTTCAATGAATCATCTTTTTATTCGAAATTTTCAACTATTGCTTTTTCAATTGAAAAATTTTTAAATAATTTCGAGTGAAGAAAATATACAACGAAGAAAAAAAGCTATTTTGATAATTCAAAATTTTATTCCAAAAATGGATTATTACATATTTTATTATAATTTAAAATAATTTGCATATTTTAGATTTTAATTTCATTGTTTTTAAATTATTCAATTACTTATGCTTTCATTAACATTTGCATATTACAGTATATTTCATAAATTATTTGTTTCATAGATGAAATAGTCAAATTTAGTAATTAATTCTGTTTTTATAAATGATTAGGAAGGAAATGAGGTAAGAAAATTCGAAATAAGAGATTACAATTACTATTGATGGTAGTTTGTATTTGTCTGATAAGAGTTGATATGATAAGATTAAATTTGTGTTCAATTTTTTCCTTAAATTTATCTTTTAACTTCTTTCTGGTAATCGTTTCCTTAATTCGAAATTATTATAATTAAACATTTCTATATAATTATTATGAAAAGCTAAAATTTCTTTTTTTTTTGGATGGTACTAAGAGTGGTACTAAGTTTCTTCTTCACTGTAATCACAAGGGAATTTCAAAATTTATTATATTTTTAAGACAAACATATGTATCGCCATGCTTTCCTCTATTTTTGAAATAAGAAAGAATATTGATAATAAGGCCTATCGTTATTTATTACTCAAAATATTTGCTAACTTTAACGATCATACATAATTTTGTATAATTTATGAAAAATTAACAATATCTCTTCTAATCTTTAAAATTGTTGAAATTATTGCAATAATTATAATTTTTATCGAGTGTGATGAAATTTGAAATTATTAATCATATAGCTGTCAAAAAGTGAATTGGAAAATTTATAATCGATTTAATTATTCTTATTTAGGCATTTATTATTCTTTTCTATAAATTATAAAAATTCTCAAAGCAATACCTGATATTAATGGTAATGCTTACGTGGCATTCCGGATTTCTGATATTAGTGTTGCTTATTATAATGGTTGTATTTGGTAATTTGGTAGTACTTTTTGCTGTACTCATTGATCGTGAGCTAAGACGTTTGGCAACTAATAAATTTATCGCAAGTTTGGCTATTTCTGATCTTCTTGTTGGAATTGTTGTTATGCCATTATCACTTTATGCTACGGTATGATTATAATTGAAATTGATAAAATTGAAAATTCTCTTATAGGCGAAAGGATGAAGGAAAAAATTAGGAAATAAATTAGATTACAAAGTATTTCAATATTTTCTATTTCAAATAAATTCATTACGTAATTTTTGTTGCATTAATATCATTTTCTACACTGATAATTTATTTGATGCTTTGATAACATTTCTACACTGATAATTTATCTATTCAAAGATATTTATTTACTTATCAAACTGTTTAATATTTCTACTTTAATTTAAACTAATTAATTTACACACCCTTTTAATATTTTCAGGTCAATGGGATTCATTGGGATTTAGGTGATCGGTGGTGTCAATTTCATCTGGTAACTGGTGTTTTTTCAACAACCGCTAGTATTGTTCATCTTACTGCTATAAGTTTGGATAGGTGAATTTGACAATAAATATTTTTAAATTTATTATATATCAATAGATAAATTTTACATCTAGCTCAGAGTATTTCTCTTTCTCTCTCTCTCTTTTTTAAGGGTATGGATTAGATAATGTTTTCTATTGAGAGGTTTATTAGTGCAGGTATTTTGCAATAATGTTTCCAACCGAATATCAACGACATTCAATAGCTACCAGTATATTTGCATATATTATAATGATATGGATTGTATCATTTGCTGTTAGCAGCACACTTTTTATGGAAAAATCATTGGGTGAAGATGGTTTTTGTTGGACGAAAAATCCGCAATATCTGGTAATTTATCCTTTCTTTCTTTTTTGATTCACATAAAATATTATCATATCAATCAATAAATAATCAAATGACTAATTGTTAACAATTACTTTTACTGATAATAAAAAATGATAATGAATATTGGAAATTAGATTAAATGAATTTAAAATATTGATTATTTGTTTAATGATTTTTCTTTCTGATTTTCTTTCGTAATTTTCTTTCTTCAATAATTTTCTTTTATATTTTTATCTTTTTTCTCCTCCAGCTAAAAGTTTACCAAAAAGATTATCATTTTAAGGTGTTATCATCATTGATATCATTTTTTATTCCTGTATCATTTTAAGATTTTATCATCATTGATATCATTTTTTTATTCATTGATATCGTTTCTTATTCCTGTATCATTTTAAGGTTTTATCATCATTGATATCATTTTTCATTCCTGGTGCTATTGTTGTCTATTTATATATAAAAATATTTCGTAAATTACGCAGTCATCGTTTATATATATTTGGACAAATGGGTTTATTAAAACGACAGCAAAATAATTATGGACGAAATAATGATAAAACAAAATGCTTACCAAAAGTTGCTGAAGAGGTAAATCATTAAGGAATTCAAAAAAACAAAAACCAAAACTTTCATACCTTTATTTTCATTTTTTTAAATTTCAATCATTTCATGAAATATTTTAAACAAACTTTATTTATTAAAAATCAAATTTAAATGCTAAAATTATAAAGGTGAAATTGAAAAATTTTAAATTTATAAACATTCCTAAATTACTGCTCATCAAATGGCTTATCTTTTAATGAATATTAAAAATTTAAGGTTATTAGCCAATGTGGTTCAAGACTTAGTCAAGCTAATAGCATTGCTAGTGGCAACAATACCGCTTGGGATGAAACTTTAGGCTTATCAAATCAATTAAATATACAATCTAATAATATCGATCAAAGGTAAATAATACAACTTTTCTCACTTAAGAAAAATAAATTGTGAATATACAATGATTTTTGTTAGATTTTAAAATTACTATAAAAATTAAAAATTCATTAATTTCAATTAGTGATTTTATAATTAATTTCAATTAGTGATTTTATAATTAATTTCAATTAGCGATTTTATATTTTGTAATTTCAAAAAAAAAATTTTTATGCTTCAATGAATTTTAATTTTCGTCTTTCTTTTGCAAAAAAATTTTTGCGCTTCGATGAATTTTAATTATAGCAATTCAGAGTTGAGATTTTTGACAGCATTAGAAATCTTCCTACAAGAATGTGTTGTAAGGATGTATTAGTAGTTGATTGTTCGTCTTTTTCTTTTTTTAAAGATCGGCTGGTTAAAGAAAATTCGAATAGATTCGAATAGCTGGTGGGAAAGTGAACAGGAAATTTAATATTAAACATAATGATATTAAAATGTAAACTTATATTAATTATATAATGGTATTTCATATTAAATATATAATGATATTATAATGCAAATTTAATTGAAAATTTTTAAATCAATAATTGAAATATATTATTTTAAATTATAATTCAGAATTTATAATATTGAAACAATGCAAAGATCTATTTTTATGACGAAGAAGAAATGTTATTCATTTAGATGCTCCTTATCAGTTAAAACGGCTGAAGGATTGAAAGATCGTTTGATGGTACCAAAAAAACGGATCAGTATCACGCTTGATCCGCCAACTATGGAATTATCATCAATAACAATGAATTCACAAACAGTTGGTAATGATAATTTAACATTATTATCACTAACATTATCACTAATTATTGTCAGCAATATTATCACTAATTATTATCAGTAATAATTTTATAATTGTTTGAAATTTTTTCAAATAAAGTTTATGTCGAATTTCATTTGAAGTTTGCATAATTTTTCTCATTTTAAAAATAATACTTCTAACAGAATGAAATTTTAGTCATTTTATCGAAAGGAATGAAACAATTGCGAAAAGATTTTCACCGTATATTTATCTTTAATTTAAATTAAATTAAATTAGTAAACAAGTATAAAATTAATTATAATTTGAATAAATATAATTTAAGTTGAACTAATTAGTAAACAAGTATAAAATTAAGTATAATTTAAATAAATATAGTTTAAGTTGAATTAAATTGGTAAACAAGTATAAAATTAAGTATAATTTAAATAAATATAATTTAAGTTGAATTAAATTAGCAATTAAATATAAAACTAAGAAAAGTTATTTTACAGGTAAAAAGTTACCTGATAATAAAAATGATTTTTTAGATAATGAATGTCTACTGTTAGATAACCATATGACATTTCTTGATGACAATTCATCCGAAGAACCGATTACTATAAATGATGAAAGTCTTTTGAAGCCATCTGTAGCTGCAATAAATCGATGTGATTCTGTTAAATTACCTATCGTTAGTGTTTCATTCAAGTAAGTATTTTAATTACAAATATAAGAACAAAAAGGACAAAAACAAAATTGATCAATAATTTTATAATTAAATCATAAAATACAAACAAAAAATAAAAAGCAAGATCAAATAAAAGCAATGTCCAATTATTCTCTAATTAAATATTTTATATTATAAAGAAAAATTGCGACATATTCTTTTTCTCAAAATATTCAATGAATAAATTCTACCTGAATAACAATTAACGATACTGTTGTAATTTTAGTGATTCAAAAATGCTCGATGATGTAAAAGAATCGAAGAAATCATTACCAATGCTATTAGATTTACCAAAACCTACTAATAATCTTTCTACCACATCTACAACAGCTCTTGTTTCACTTAAAGTTAGTTATTAAATTCAAAATATAATTAAAATAAAAATTTGATCGAATATTTAAATATTACAAAATCAAATTGGTCGAACATTTAAATATTACAAAAGATGAAATTTTGATTGAATATATTTTTACACTTTAAAAATTGATTATTATATTTTCAAATATCATAAATGAATGTTAAAGGTGCCAAAATGGGATTGTTGCGTAACTCCTATTTCAACAATACGCTCAAATTCAAGTCGTAGCTCATGCACTTCAACAAGCGGTAGTGGTGATATTTCAAGGTATCATTTTGTTCTTCATCTAATCTAAATGAAATTCAGAAGGCTTTTTAATTCGTACATATTTTTAAATTTTAATATTAATTAATATTTAATTCTGTTAATTGAGGTAAATATTTACATAGAATTTTATAAAGTTTATCATTTCCCCTCATTTTATTTTTACTTAATATCTTTGTCTATCTTAAATCTATAAACTAATTAAATTTTTAAAAGTACAATTCTTTGTAAATAATTTAGAGCAGAGGTTTCAGAATGATTTCAATGAATAGTTTTGATACCAGTATAACGGAGGATGCTACTGATGCTACAGCTGAGGTATCGAATTCTAGGTTAGAATTAATTTTCTGTTTCTGTTTTTTAATTTTTAATTAGCCAAGCTAATTTCTTCCAAAACAAAAGCCAAGAAAAGAAAACAGATCTTAAATTCAAAAAATTTTCTTGTATTTTAGAAAAATAAGTACATGGTCAACATTACGCTCTATCATACATGTGCATGATCTTACGCCAGTAGCTGGTACTAAAAATGCATTTGCTAATAATGCTCCACGATCAAATCAACGAGGAACAATATCACGTGGAAGATTGAGACGAATTGCTATTCAGGTGAAATTATGAAAATTTTGTTAAAATTATAAAACTTTACAATTTCTTCAAATCTGAAAAATTCTCGTATGCATATTTTATATAAATGAAAAAGGTTGCAAATTATAATTAGTTAATTTGGTTGACAACTTTTGAGTGAAATTCTTTTGGCATTCAGGTAACACGTGCAGTACGTCGAAAACGTCGTGAATCATTAGCAATAAGACGTGAAACTAGAGCTACAGGTGTTGTTGCTGCCATACTTAGTAAGTTTACATTTGTCTTTCTAATATTGTTAATTTTTAATTTTCTTTTCTTTGTTTTCAAGTCACCTATAATATTAATAAAATTGATAATTTTTTTCTTATCACTTACTAATCATTGAAATTAATTCAACTATTATTATTACTAATTAACAATCATTTTAATTATTTAATTTTAGTTGCATTTTTGATTTGTTGGATTCCGTATTTTTGCATAACAGTTTATCGTGGAATATGTACTGGTTTCAATATTCAATTGGACAAACATCTTCATGTCAATTTATTTATGCTATCATCATGGCTTGGCTATGCGCATTCATGCTTCAATCCAATCATTTATACATGCCTGAATAAGAAATTTCGCCGTACAATTAAACAAATAATTTGTTATTCATGTCATAAAAATCGTAAAGATCTGTAAATAATAATAATAATAATAGTAATAATAATAATAATAATAATAATAATAATAAATAATAATAATGATAACAAACAATAATGACAACAATAATAATAAATAATATTAATAACAATAATTAGTAACAATAATAATGATTGATTAAATTAATTCTATTCTATTATTTGCTCATTAAAGCGAAATATTAATGACAGATGAATATTGTTGTGATGGAAATTTTAATTCAATCTCAAAATAGTACACCATTTTCTGCAAAACTATCGTTTTTTCCTCTGTTTACAAAACTCAAAAATTTTTTACATTTTAATAATTTTTTGAATTTTATTTCTTTCATATCTTTCATTTGTATATATTTTTTAAATAAAAAATTTTTCGATAACTTTCAATGTTGCAAAACTTTTATTGCATGCAAATTAGCAAGTTAACAATTGTATGGAAATTAGCAAGTTAGCAATTGCATGCAAAACTTGCACAGCAAAAGAAATGCAAAATGCAATAAAACTTTTTTTCTTTTTCTCCTTCTTTTCTTTTTGAGAAATAAAATAATGTTGGCAAAGTTAATTGCAAAAAGTTTCAAATTACTTTTAAATTTTTGAAGCTTTCAAAGTTAGGCAATATAATATGAATAATTTTTTATAGTTATTTTATTTCAACAAAACTAATGAAAAAGTTTTAAAAAAATATATATTTCATTTTATTGAATATTAAATATTTGAATTACAAATTGAATATTTAAATTATAAATTATTTAAATTAGAAATTATTTCATTAAATATTCCATCATATTTGAATTATAAGTTATTCTATTAAATGTTTGGATTATAAATTATTCCATTATATATTTGAATTATAAATTACTCCATTAAATATTTGATTAACAAATTATACCATTAAATAATTGAATTATAAATTATTCCATTTGAATTATAAATTATTTCATTAAATATTTGATCGATAAATTATTCCATTAAATATTTAAATTAGAAATTATTCTATTAAATATTTGATCGATAAATTCTTCCATCATATATTTGAATTATAAATTAATGTTTTATAAAATTATTGTTATTTGTTTTATAATTAAAATTAAAATTCTCTTCTCATATAAAAGAAAAGAAATTACTAAAAGAAGTTTTTAGTTTACATTGAAAGTTAAAATATTTTATTGATTCTTTCAACATAAAACTAATCATTTTATGTTCATTTAACTTTTCTACGTCATAAGAAAATGAAATTACTATAAAACATTTAAAATGCATTTGGCGAAGTTTAAATTGAAATTCACATTTTTCTTTTAATTACAGAAAAGGGAATAGAAGATATATCACATTGAAAATAGCAAATTTGAAATTAGCCAATTTATCGAATTCTAAAACTTTGCCAAATTAATTTTCGAAACTTTCGAAACAATGAAAAAGTTTCGTTAAACTTATCACACATCTTTTTCTACTACCATCTAATGTAAATCCATTATGGAAATGGAAATTTAGCTAATCATAAAATAGATTCATTCGTCCGTGTGGTCGACAATTAATGAAAAGCTTAATGTATTTGAAAATAATTAGAATTCTATGTTATCCAATTAAAAAGAAAATAGGGGGAAAAAAAATAGTTTTAATTTAAAAAGTATTTTACAATTGTGCGGTAAAAAAAGAAAGAAAATAACGATTAAATATTCTGTTATCAACTAATTAATTAATTAATTAATCTCTCTTTTCATATATTACTTAAATTTTACCACACATGAGATCAAATGCTCCTCGAATATTTTGCTAACACTAAAACGAATGATACCGAAATTATATCAGTTGAAGCTAAGTAATATATGAAAAGAGACTAATTAATTAATTGATAGTTTCAATTGAAATATGAATTTTTCTAATAACTTTGAAATGCTCATATACTTATTGATTATCATTTGTGTAATAATTGTTGTGATTGCCAAAAACTGTAAGCGGAAAAGTTATACTCGGAAAAATAGTAAAAAATGATGATTTAAATATTAGTATATAATTACTGCATATTGTTGTTATAGAAATTTCAAAACAAAGAAATGTTAAGGCTTTTAAAAATTCGTTCTAGAAAATAAATCTAGAATGCAATATCCGTAAGCGCTATTTGTATCGTAACCATTTGCGCTTTTATATGCATCTTTTTTTTAAACGCTTTTCTACGTATGCATCTTTTACTGTTAAATGAAATAAATTGAAATTAAAAAATTAATTGTATTAAATTAAATTAAGCAAATTTCGTTTATGTATATTTTTGAAATACTCTTTTAGCAATAATTAAAAGAGAATTTGTTGTTAACATTAGCTATTCAATTAATATATTCCCATATTATTATCACTTATAATTTATTTACTGTTAAAATTGATGTAAACAACCTCAATTGTTTAAATAGTTGGATAAACAAAAACAGGTAACAATGAATTAAACATGATAAACAACAGATTGAAAATAATCGATAATGTTTATTTTAATTACTGAATCTGTAACTAGAATAGAAATGATTTGTATTGTACCGATAACTATTGAAATATTTTGGAAGGTAGTAGATGAAAAGGTTGATGACATGGTAACATCATTTATACAATGTTAACAAATTTTCTCATTTTTTGATTAATTGAAGAAATTCAAAAATTACTAATCTTTTAATATTTGGAAATACGTGACAGCTAAGTGTTATTGATACTATTTTAAATGATAAAAATATTTGCTAATTAGCTCCAAACAAAATTAATTATAACAATTTAATTTGGCTATAGTTAAATGAAAATAATTGAAAACAATTACTTCTGCAATCTACTTATCACAACAACAAATAATTATTTTTATTCAATCAATTTCCTTTTTCCTTCTCCTCCATACAACTCTGCTTACAGGGGAAATGTATAACTGATTATAGGTGTGCTATCAGTTGAACATATCAAATACTCCATGTGATAAATTATCTTAAAGAGCACATTGGTCATTTTTAACTTTATTTACTACTTTATTCAACATTCAAATTTTACAAATAAAATTTTCCTAAAATCCAGTATTAACAATTATTGTGATAATATGAAATTGAATAGATGAAGTTATCACCATATCAACAATGAAAAGGTCATGATATATGCAAATGCGCACCAAATGTAATTATTAATAATAGAAATAATAATTTTAATTAAGAATTGATGAATTATTTAGCGAAGTTAATAAACTTTTTTTTCTTTCGAAATCATTAAAATTTCGATATCATAAAAATATGATTTCAAAAATGATCGATAAAAAAATAATCACTAAAATAACCGTAAAATTGCTGATTAACACCGCTGCTTTCTAAATTCATTTTGAGCAGTTGATGTATATAAATGTTTTAAACAGAAATTGTTACAATTCCATGAATTGCTTTATACAAAGATATTTAAAGGTCAATTTCATCTTAGACACATTCACTAATTCCTTCAAGGATGGATAAATCTCACCGCTAATTAATTTTTCCTTAATATACGGTTGGATTAGCTTGTAATGTATGAAGAAGGCTTGAACATATTCTTTACTCCTCCATTATTACTACAGTAATGTTATGATGTAGGAATTGTAGCGCAATTAATTTAAAGGTATTTAAAAAAACTGACAACTTTATAAAACTTTCATTTCTGAACTAATTTTATAAATATATCAAATCTATTAGACTGTATCCATTCTTCTTCATCAATTACTTACATATTAGTACAACGAAAGAAGATTTTGAATTAAATAAATTTATTTATAACTATTGTTTATGCTTCATTAAGGAACTATTAATTTGCATTTTATTGACAGTTACGATGAAAGTAAATTTGAATTCAATGCACACTTTATATTGATAATTTTATTTTTGCAAAAGAGATATTAGAAATAGTAAGTTTAAAGTTTATAGCATTTTGCAAAATATAATGGTTAAATTTCAATCATCTTCAGGCAAAAAAAGAAAATTTAATCAGAGAATTCTTTCATAATTTAATAAATAATTGTTAAGTTATAAGAAGATAGGTTAAAGGTTAAAGGACAGAATGAGAAATTCATTATCATTAAGGCTAAAAAAAATCACAAATTTAATAACATAAAAAAGGTAAAATTCAAAATAATCAAAATTGTTTATGATATGAGAATTAAAATTGTTTATGAAATGATTCATTGAAATTTTATAAAAGGATTAAAATCGTTGTGTTTGTTAATTTTACTTGAATAGAAATATCATCGATGTATGGGAATAGTTTAGGATGAGAACAAATTTAGATATCATTAAAATTATGCTTTATATTATTTTCCTCTCCCTTCTCCCCTGCTTAAGAAAGAGAAAAAGAAAGAGATAAATGAGAAAAGAAAGGAATTTATTGACAAACTTCTCAATTACAAAAATAAGGTTAATTTATTATTCTTGAAACTTTCTCCAAAACTTCAACAAAATAAAGTAGAAAAATCAATAAAAAAACTTTTACTCGAAAATGTTAGATAAGAAGATTTTCATTTTGCTGATCTGATTGGATTGATTTTTCATGATCTGATTGGATTGTTTTTTGATGATCTGATTGGATTGATTTTTGATGATCTGATTGGATTGATTTTTGATGATCTGATTGGATTGATTTTTGATGATCTGATTGGATTGATTTTTCATGATCTGATTGGATTGATTTTTCATGATCTGATTGGATTGTTTTTTGATGATCTGATTGGATTGATTTTTCATGATCTGATTGGATTGATTTTTCATGATCTGATTGGATTGATTTTGATGATCTGATTGGATTGATTTTTCATGATCTGATTGGATTGTTTTTTGATGATCTGATTGGATTGATTTTTCATGACCTGTTTGGATTGATTTTTGATGATCTGATTGAAATGATTTTTGATGATCTAATTGAATTGATTTTTGATGATCTGATTGGATTGATTTCTACTGATCTGAATGGTTTGATTTATTTTTGCAAAAATTTGAAGATCAAAATTTCTAATTGCTTCTTTTCGTTAGCCAAAACTTCCGAAGCTATTTTAACATATAATTAAAAAATTAATTTAAATTCAACAATTTTTATTAATCATGAAAAGAATGCAATAAATTTGGTAGGATTGCATTTTACAATTTTGATCTAAATTAACTTAAAACAAAAACAATAACAATAAATTGGATTTTTTTTCGCTTTTCAAATTGTTATTCATTTCTTGCATAATAAAATAATGCAGAATTTTTGCATGATAACACGAAATAAACACAAAATAGGATTTGATGAGATTTATAAAAATCAAAAATTCCTTAATTATTATTAATCTGTCAATAAATTTTGATCGATTAAATTTTGTTATATTTGAAGCAATAAAAAAAGACTTTAAAAAGAAAGTTCGAAATTTCAGTAAGAATATTATAATTAAAATGAAACAAATATATTATCAGAATTTAACAATAAAATAATCATAAATTTTTAATTTTGAAAAATGTAATTAATATTTTTTAATGTAATTATTTCAGTTGAAATTTATTTTTGTTTTGTTAAAAATTTATTATTCGAAAAAAATTTTATTATTTATCGATATTTTTTTGAGCTGATAATTAATCAGTAATTTTCAATTAATTGAATTGAAAATAGACGTTTGATAATTTCGCTTACGATATCAATGTGTACTGTATCAGAAGCTGTAAATAAAAGTAAGTACTACAAAATGGATAAATGAATATAAGTACTATAAATGGAAGATGGAAGAATACTTTGCGTTATTTGGAAGCTTTTGAATTAGTAATTTAAATTCAAATAGTTTAAAAGTTCAAATTTCGAATTTGAAAATTTTTCTCAAAAATTTTTTGCTCTTTTTGAAGTTTTCTTTTTTGTCCATTAAATGATTAAATGGATAATTTTATTTTAATAGTTTATTTTAAACAATTTTTTCAAACCAATTCTTACCAACTTTAAATATCAATTAAAAGTAACTTCAAATTAATCAATTCCTTTTTTTGTTTGCATACTAATGAGAAATTAATAAATCGAAAAATCAAAGTTATTAATTTGTTTTGTTTTAGAATTTGATTAATTATATTTATTTCAAGTATTTAATAAAGTTGTAAAAATTATCTCGTTAGATCAAAAAAAAAACAGTCGCATAATTCCGGAACGAATGATCTCTCATTTTATTTCATTAAAATGAATTAGAACAATGATTCAGGTCAAATTTCGTCATTGCTCTGCTTTTTCATCTAATTGATCACTTTTTCGTTTTTGTTTCATCCAATTTTAACACTTTAATTGTTTTAAAATTTAATTAACTAATTGGTAGGAAAATTTGTCAATCATAAACGATGCATTTTAATAGCTATCATATTATTATCGGATCATTTCTATTATGTTATCTATCATAGCTATCATATTGTCGGATAATAGCTATCATATCTTGCATTTTTTTACACATGCCTCAATATTTCAAATCGTGTCGACTAAATTTAAAATTTGAAGTTTTAGCAAAATACATTGAAATTTGTTGAAAGTATCCTTCTTCATTCATACATATTGTTGATAAAGGCAATATATAATATAGTATATATATATATATTTTTTCTATATAAACTTTTAATAGTGATGTCAAAACTTTTATTATTTATTTGTTATTACTTACCACCTCAATCTGACTTATCTTTAATTATAAGATATATTAATTCTGATTGGATAATTTATATCCTTTTAGATTTCATTCTAACTTACCTTCGATTATAAAATATTAATTCTATCTGATTGGATAATTTATATCCTTTTAGATTTTTAGTTTAAAATAAAAAATGATGCCAATTTTTTTCCAGTCATTTTCATATACTATAAATTATCTTAATTACTAAAACCACCAATTCATTATTAATCATTAATTTAATAAGTTTAATTCTTCCTAATTAGCTAATTTAGCTGTTAGATATTTAGGAATTAAAAACTAATTTACTAAAACAATGATGAATGCTTCAAATTGACATTTTAATTTTATCAATGAAATTTACTAAATATCAAAATTTTTCTAGAATGAATAAAATAGCTTTATATCTGGCAATATTAACAACACCCACAATGGCATTTCAATGTTTTCAATGTAATAATGGAAGTGATGATGATGATGCTATGCCTTGTATTGATCAGGTTATTCATTTCAAATTAAAATATCAAAAATTTAAAATGAATAGACTTTTTATTTCCTAAGCCTAGATATAAATAATAACGGGCCTAAAGTGTTAAAGTGTTAAATAATAGGCCTAAAGTGTTTTTTAGGAATGACAAGCGAAAAAAGAGTAAACATTTATAATTAATTTCTTTGTTTTAAAAGTATTATTGGATAAGCAAGAAGATTCGTTGTAATATTTTAATATTATATTGTTTTTCAATTTAATTTTTAATTATTTGAATTTGTTTTTCATTTTAATTTCATTCATATGAATGAACTTGTTTTTGTTTTCTTTCTCTCTTTGATAAATTTGTTTGATAATTAATATTTGTTGTCAGAAAACGGAATGTCCAAAAGATACGAAAAGTTGCTCGACAATTTTTTATGCCTCTAAACAAGCTGATAAAATTCATATACGGAAATTTTGCACAACTTCTGGTACTTCGATATCACGATATCTTCCATTATTTCGTGGCAGTGCTATGTGTCAAAATATCTATACGGTTATTCAATTTATTAATTCTTTCAAATTTCAATTCAACTAATTTTATTTTTTAATAATTATGACGAAAAAGTTTTTGGGAAAAGAAACATTGAAACATTGAAAATTTTGAATATCAAATGATATTGTAAAATAATAAAAATTCTAAGATTAAATTTTAAAACAAAAGAGTGAAATTGAAAATGTATTTTTGATAAAATTAATATATCACATTAATGTGAATCATGATTATTAAACAAGATAATAAGAATTTAGAATCAAGAACGTGTGCAACTTACGTCGCCATTATTTGAAAGGCGACGTCGTGAAGCGTTACCACCAGCACCACCAAGACAATATGTACGTATGAAAAAACTTTTTATTATTTTATTCTAATTAGATCAATATGTAAGTAAGTTGTTCTGTTCTAATTAGATAAAAATTGTTTGAGGCAATAGATTTCAGTATTTATAAGTATTAATTCATAAAATCGATTCTTACATTTAAAAAAGTTATGGTAGAAAGTTATTGTTGAACTGAAATTCAGTGAAAATTTTCTTGTATATCATCAGCATAGACTTTCTATTTCAATTGATCTTATAACTTTAAAGTTATTGGTCAAAATTAATTAAATTTAAAGAGTTAATAGTTGAAATTTAAATGATCAACAAAACACTCTATCCAATCCATGTTTCTCATCAAATTATCCTACAATCGGATTTTAAATTATGTAAAATATAAATTTATAGATTTTGAATATATAAGGTAGAAGTAATTTTATAATTATTAATTAGTTTAAATTTGTAATTATTAATTAGTTTAAATTTGTAGAAGAATAATTTACTATGTATATGCGCTACATCTTTATGCAATGGTGGTGGTATTCATGAGGAGATCATCAATAGAATTATCTCTAATCCACCAAAACATAATGTCGACTTTTCGTTACAAGATTTCGATGATTGATGTAATCACTGCAGTCATTTATTTCACGGATATTATCGCTGTAAGGATTTCGATGATTGTTATCATTTTAACATTCAAATATTGTTTATGTTTCACAATGAAATTTGTCTTTGCTTTTTCCGACTTCTTAAATCTTTTAGAAGTCTGTATCGGAAGTGATTTGCGAATGATAAACTTCTTCTATAAAATTACTCGAAATGTTTTTATCGATCAATTCAAACGAAAGATTTTAATTTAATGAAAATTGATGTAACTTTTGTTAATATTCAAAAAAAATTGCACAGAAATGTTTATTTAATATTTGATAAAAGCATATATCCAGTATGTGTCACGTCACCTGATATTCCAGCTTTCGTATGAGATGCCAATATAATTTTAAAAGTCAAATTTAAAGAATATACTATGAATTTAAAACTGCTAATTACTCACGACGATTTAGCCCAAAATTATAAATGCCCCGAATATTACAAAATTTTCATTTCTTTTTCCAAAAGCTTTTTTGAATTCGAAGAAATGTTGGCTTAGTGTTTTAAAAAAAACCATCCGAAGTTTATGAAAATTTTTATTAAAAAGAAAAATCAAATTAAATTATAAGCGGTGCCAAATAATTATGAAAATGGAACAATGAATAATTTTAAGATTTTTCTATCCCGTAACTTCAGAAGGAAAATAAAATAATAAGAAATAAAAATGCAAAGTTAGAAACGAATAAATAAATCTTGAAAACTTTAGTTATAGAATTAAAAGGAAAGATTAACACAAAACAATGGAAATGATTTCTAGTAAAAAGATCCTACTGGTAGGATAGAAGAACCGGAAAAACTTTGAGAATGTCATAAGAGGGGAAAATAGAAGCATAGAGAAGATAAATGAAGGAAGAGTAAGATCAGCTTGAGTGATAAATTCATTATCATTATTGGAGGACAGAATGATCATATTATGAGGAATGAAAGTCAGAAGAAAAATGAGTTCACTATTGACAGAAAAATTCACTTAGCAGTTTTAAGCTGATAATTGTATATGGCCGATAAAAGATGATAGACCACGGCATTATTCACAGAATTTGCTTATACAACTTAAAACGAGATAGTATGAAAATCATTAGAAAGCATAATTGTGATAATAATGTTAATGCGCACCAGCATTAGACATATTTTAAACTATTATTGTGAAATTACTTATAATATGAAACAAATAAACTATTACACCGAATTTCAGGGAATAATTTTTAGAAATAATAAGGCAGATCATACGTCTGTTGGTACCAATACTCGTTGTAACAGTGAATTTTCTTATAATGGAATCGTGTAAAGATTTCTTTCGAATGGTACTTTGATGCAAAAATTCGTATAGTAGTTGAAATAAAATAAATAAATCGAAAACTCATACAACTTCATTATTCTACTTTGATTACACTTACTAAATGTGATTCCATGTTCGAAAATACTGTTACTTCTTATAACGAGCATTGCCTGACAAAAAAAATGCATTTAACAGGATAAAATATTGTGACATACATATTTATTGAAATTCAATATATACAAATATCAATATTATAATATAAAAATGATTTAATCTTATACATATGGACAATAAACTCTTAATACCTGACTGCAAGATGGTCAATACAACTGTTGATATCATGCATATAGCATACGAATAAATGAAATTCGAGAAAAGTACTTAACTACCAGTTCGATTTATTCCGCTCTATTCTAATTACATTAGGCTCAGGAACTTTTGTCCGGATACTAATTCATTCATAGAACCGGTCAACGTAACCTTTCATTAACTTTGTATTGTTTGCTAAGGATTTTTTTGAACGAATAGAATCAAAGGCGGCAGATCTAATAAGCATGTAGACTTTCTAATCTATACCCGAATTCCAAGCAGCCAAAGACAAGTAAATGTACTGATAGCATGTTAAAACGAATGGTTAAAACGAATGATTGGAGCTGAAGTTCGTAAAAATTCAGAATACGTAAATAAAATAAATAAACAAACTTTGCAACCCAAAAATGTTAGAAAGTAAACAAATTCCATTTCTAACATGACATTGCACTAACTGGTAAATAAATACGACGCTTTTAATCGGAATTAATTCGTAGGATATGTTTATGAATTTTTGTAGCCACATGACAATTCGTCTCCTTGTCCTGTTCTACCACCGAAAGATCTTTCAAAACACATGCAGCTAAATCACATTCAATCGCTGAAAACACAAATCGATAATCTATTATTTTAAATTGAAAACCTTGAATTATTTTGTATGTCGATTGAAACACCAAAAATAATTACATCCAATGTGTGTATTTGAATTCACAGTCAATTTCAAGAAATAATATTTGACAAAAAGCTTACGATCCATTTCGTCTTTCTCGTTGTTATTGCAAGTAGCGCAGTGTATCTGAAAACAATATTTCGGCAAATGATTGTTCGCCATAAAAAAACTAGATGTATTTTAAAAAAAGGAAAAATTATTTTCGACAATGAATTCCTCCCAAAAATAGAATAATGAAATATAAGAATAAGAGTGGAAAAAAGAATGTTACGTTTCCCCAACTAAAAAAAGAACTAAAAGCTTAATGAATTTACTGTTTCAGAATTTGAACGATGCCGTGTCTCATCATCCGTTGAATTATCTTCCACTGCTAGAGCACCTTTCTTTTTCATTTTATTTTTTTGTTTTCGCTGGTTCTTTTTTTTCTGACTTAGAATAGATGAATTGGGTCGAAATGACCGCTCTTGAACTAAACGTTCACTGAATGATACACGCTTTTTTCGTGGAGTATATCCTGTAATTACAAATTTATATTTTCAAAAACCTAATGAAAAAGATATTATAATTTTATCAAAAATAAGAACAAAAAATACACTAAACAAACCTGCGCCGTCCTCATTATTCATATCTGCAACAATCACTTTCATTTCTCCATCCTCTCTATTTTGACATTCCGAATATGATCTAAAATGCTCTCTTAATTGAAACTGTAATACACCACCGCTGTATATAAATTTATATTCTTTCATTTTTTTATATATCATATAGCTGTTCTTATAGTCTTCTATAATCGTTTTTTTTACACTTTATGCCATGAAGATCTCTCATCAGTAAAAAAGTTGAGCATTGGAACTTTCTTACTTATAAAATCTGTCAGCTTAAAATATCAGCAAGGTGCAGGCAACATCAATATAATTTGATGCGTTTCATTATTGGTAGTTAAAAGACTGATGAAAAATGACTTCCAAAAATTGGCTAAATAATACTGGTCAATGAGAATATTCGTGGTGTTTGGCTGAAGGATCACGAAATGATTCTTTTAAACAATAAGAGTTTTTTTTTAGATCCATAGGCTGAGTAACATAAAGTAGCCATTTGTTTCTCTGTTTACTCATATAGTCATATGATCTCATAAAGCATCATAACCAATTATTTATAAATATGGCGTGCTTGTCATGATGAAATCGTTGAGTAATAAGCTAACACTATCTTGTGTCACAGATAGGATTTTTGCTTAAAAAATTAAGCAAAAATGAAATTTGGAAAAAAATTTCGAATGCAAAAACAACTGTGAGAAGAGAAAACAAGAGCAACAAATGGCAGTGTAAAAATCAGAAGTGTTACCCTAACGAAAAATGTATTTATTTCAAATGATACAAACATACTAAAGAACAAGATCGCAGTCCAAGACAGGAAAAGGAAATAAACCTTAAAAAACGTCCTGTATTAGTGTGTGTTGAAATGGACTTTTTTAGAATACTTTTGAGACCAACTGTTGCGCTAACACTCTCACTTGTTGATCGGCCACGTGGTAGCAATTGTTGTTCGACGACTATAGCCGGAATTCGAACGCAATATTAGATTAAGAAGCAACATGTATTCTTTTTTAATGTTTTATTCAATTTGAAGTTAGAATAGTAAATTAAAAGCTTGAATTAATAAATATCAAGATAAGAACCATTTCATAATACAGTTCGACGTTCGCAACAAAATTATGAATGCAAACCTTGAAAACATTCACTTTCAATCATAAGAGGATCACTTACCGTATTGAAAAGGAATACAGTCGACTGAAATTGGTGAACATCCGGGTGATGAGGAAGGTGAACTGTTCGATGAGCCCAGTGATGACATGCCCGAATCGATGCTGCCTACTGGACTGTTAAATCTGAAAAAATTCTAGATTCACTTCAGGAAAGAAAACTAATCGCAGTGAAGAAACTGCTGGATAAATTAAAAATTAAGAAAAGGTTGGGCAATCAATAAAAGCATTTCTTATCGAAGTGATTTGTCTCTTTTTTCGATGTCGATGGAAGCATATTACATAGAAAAAAACCTCATGCATTTTTATAATCGCGTGTAAAATTACATCAGTTAGAAGACGACCCTGTAAAAATTGCACTTTTCCAACGATGTTTTTTTAAAAAACTTCCCACAAAATTAAGATTAAGAAGTGGGTAACCAATTATTTCTTTTTGATATATTATTGAAGAACTTCATTGAACAATGGAATATGCTACTTATAAAGGATTGCAAAGAGTTCCTTTAAACTTTAATCAATGCTAAAATAAATGTTATTATTAACTGCTAACTTTTTGAACAATCAGAATCAGAAAACAAACATCCTTTCAAACAATAGATTATGTTGGAGATAGTTAGATTCAATGTCATATTATTTAATTTTGCTTTAAAATCAGTTAGACATACCCTGCCATGAAATTAATTGTTGCTTCAGGAGCAGGATGTTGCTGCTGATTGCCAGAAATAACAGTAACTTGCAACGGTGATACAGACGATTTGACAACCGAATTAACTTTTTCAAATACATCAGAATCGTTGTTGGGCATTTTCGTGATTACTACTGCTGTTTTATTTATCATATTTCCCTGCAAAAATTAAACGACTCAAATTTATTAGCTAGATGGAACTTGTATTGCGCTGTCATATGAAAACACATACTTTGTATGTTATATTTAAGTAAAAGAACTATGTCTAAATGAATTCTCTCTCACTTAATGTTAGCAATCTTTGTGCAAATAATTCTTATGATACATTAAGAGTTGCCATCTAATATTCTACTGCTTTATGGGATAATAATCATAAAACCAATTAGTTTGTCAGAATATGGCACTCATATAACTCATTTGAGCAGATCTTAATGCTACATTGCTAAGCTGCAAAAAGGAAAGAATGTTTTCATCATTAGCAGAAGTTAACGGGGTGAAATGTGAAGTCACAAAAGCTCTTCAAATGGGAGAAAAGTCAATCACTTTTAACTACGAATATTTATGTCAGCTGCTCTCTTTTAGCATTAAAATGAGAAAGAGAACTATTATCTCACTTATTACTTACTATGATAAATTGCTGCAAGGTGTTTTAGCTTCAGTCGCTAAATGTTAAAACAAAAATCGGAAAATATCCATTAAAAAGGGCCTGAATATTTTCCGAAAGAAAAGAAGCTAACCGTGAAAAGAAAAGAAAAGGCCTATTTCTATCTTATATCAAAAATTTCTTCCGTAAATTCAAACTGATATATCACTAAATTTTCAATTTTCTTTGTATGAAAAAATTGATTTCTTTTTTTGCAAAAAAGATATTCTCTTCAAAATTAAAAAGCATAGGTAGATGATAACTACACAGAAATTGACAGCTATCATCTGACTACTCGAAAATATCGATAAGAAGAAGAAATATTAGAATGATGCTGCTGCTGCTGCTGCTGCGCCATTTCCGACGTTAAATCTATGAGGCATTAGGCATTGAGAGAGGAGAATATTGAGCACCGTTATGGTGCTGTCGATTATAAATGGCATCGAAAAATATCGCGTGGAATAAAAAGGTTCCATATAGCGAGTGCAATACAACAACAACTACACTATCATTTCTGTTTATCTTTTATTTATCAAAAAAAAATTTTAATTTCTTCCTCCCTCGTAAAATTATCTCGATGAAGTATGCATAATACTGTGCAATCCCTAACAGTTCCCTCTCTTTCTATCTAATGATCGTGAAGTTCGTTAATTAATACTTTTAACTAATTCCTGTAATTCAAAAGTTACAAAAAATAAATATGAAAACATTATGAAGGAGCTATGAAACAGGCAACAGTTGACGACAAGAAGTGGCGATAATAACATAACATACATATATCTTCGATTTAAACACTTTAACATACTACCCAATTATTTAATACTTAATGCTATCTTAACAATTAAATATTTGCCTTCTCAACTTCTCTTGATTCTTCATAATCGATGCAGTGAAATAGGTTGTACACTTCGTATACATTGCAGAAAACATTACGGAATGATTTTTGAGAAATGAAACTAATCCGTTAAAAATGTATACATGTGATAGCTACCAACATCTATCAACAGTATTTCTCGAATGCAAAATATTTCGAAAATGAACTTTAAAGATTTACCGAGATTTGTATGCAAGCATTAGCTTCATCTTGATGTAACATATGCAATATTCGATAATTTTTTACATTCACTGGTTCTATTGATCGTTCACTATTATTGATTCGATCCATTGCAGCTTGCTGTTGTTGACAATAATATAATTTGATGCTGTCATCCAGTTGTTGACGTAAAATTTGCACGCGTTTTTGATAATCTGCCATAATCTGAAAATTGAAATCACTATGGAAATAAATCATTATTGATTTTTGTGTCATAAGAATGTAATGCAATAAATAGGATATTCGCGCATAAATTATGACACTTTGCTATTTAACGAGAAAGGTAAAGGCATATAAATGTGTAGAAGAAAAAATGCAAATGAATGAATTGATTAATTAATTAAGGATGTATAACGATAATATTATGAAAGCAGATAACTAATTACTAAAACAATAATATTGAACTACTACTACTATCACTAAAAATGAAAATATATAATTAGAATAGCTGTCACTAACAGTAGCATTACGGTAATTTAAGCAGAATAAATGAAGAAGAAAGAAACAAAACTTATAATCTGAAAGAAAGAAATCAAATACAAATGCGCACAATGGATCATATCTACTCACATATTATTGATTGGAATCCACTTTTCTGATGATGAATATCTTCTAGTATTAATATCGAGGAGAGATTATGGCAAACAAAAATAGAGAACATAACGTGATGAAACATGAAACGATTCCTAATTCATCACACCGTATCACTATCTACCATACATCACTCCTTTTTTAATATAATCACAAAAAAGAAGACAATGAAGTTGGAGAAGCAAGTAGATGGAAAGGAATAAATTATCATCACGAATATAATGCCTAATTTACTGAAGATTCTTTAGGCACCGTCAATATCATCGGATGGTACACTCTAACAAATCATACATGTCAATAATAATTTCAGCTTCCATTTTAGAAAAAAATAAAGGAACTTGGAGTGGATTATTATAGCTATTAATTTCAACCGCTAGATCAGATAGAAGTGTAAAAACCTACCTAAGATTACTTTAGACAAGTAAATAAATCGAAATCCTATCTATCAGAAAATTTTATTCAAATTTCAACATTTACGAAGAAAGGATAGAAGGGAATATTGATAACATAGCAAAGGTATCTATAATATTTTTGCAGGTGCAATCCAGAATAATATACAAATAGTCAACAGTCAACAGTAGTCAAGTAGTCAACACTAATATCCTCAAGACGTTACAATCTGTATTTCAATATTTCTATGTTTATATGTGTTCAGTATTTCTATACTAAACTAAGTGGAAATGTGATTCAGGAAGAAATTATACAAATGTATCGGTTATATCAATTCCGATAAATGACAGTATATCCAATGTAGAAAATAGGAAAAGATTAGAGTTTGAAATTTCTTTTAGCAAAGAAAAAAAGACCAAATATGAATATTTAAACGAAAACAACAGCTTAAAAAGTCATATCGCGCTATCGCATATATTTCGAAATTTGTACATTTAACAAATATACAAAGTGATTGATTCGTATCGTTGAATAAACAAAAAATCATTATGCATAATAAATTCAGGATAGAATACGATCAAAAGGTGACACGGTAGGTTGAATAATGACTTAGAGATTTCTTTGACTTCAAAATCCTTGGCAATTATTGCGAGGTAATAAATCAAATAGTGAGCTAAATCAGAAATCGCTAACCAGCTGATACTAACAATTTTATCTCTATTGAAGGAACATATCTCATCCTTTAACTCGACATTATCTAAGAGAACTTATACGATATGAAAAAACAAAACAGATTATAGTTTATAAGAATTGGTGCACTAATTGATAGTGATAATCAGAGATAATAAAATGTATATTTGTAAATACATTATCACTTAATTATAAACAACAAAAAATTTCGAATCGGAATTTCTTTGCCATAAAAAAAATAACAAAACGATAAGAACATGTAGAAACCTCGCGAAATGCTGTTATGATCAGTAGGAAACGACCTCTACAATCATTATTGACACCCAACATCACTACTATTGTCATCCTACCAATGTCACCTCGAAATTCAAAAAGACAACGCTCTTTTAACCTTTTTCTTTTTCTTTTTATTGATCTCACAATTTCTCCAATTTCTAGAAAATTTGATTCAGCTATATGATTTCTCTTGCCGAAGAGATTGAGAGGAGGAGGAGAAGGAGGACAGTATTTTGGTGTTTGGTTAATGAACCTTTCCTCTCACCTGTTTTTGCTGACAATTGTTTCTCAGTCATATTCCTCAGCATTTCCGGGAATATTACTATACACACCAGCAGTTCGATTATACTAGGTAAGCAAAATTTTAAATTGATGCAAATTTGTGACAGGAACTCTCCTACCCTCATAAATATCGATCGAATTTAAGAAATTTCAATATCGATTAGTTCTAAGAAATTCTGATGTAAATTTATTTCTTCCATTTTTGGCTTCTCTTCTTTCCATCTCTTCACATTATTTACTCAAATTATGCAATGAAAATTTTGCATGATAAATAAATAAAAGAATGTTCAAAACGATCTGAAAATCATTTCATTATGCCTGTATCAATTCAAAAAACGCTCGATGATAATGAAATGATGAAAATACGATTACGGCGTATAACGAACGATTTAATGCATGAAAGTAGCAAGACGAATGAGCACTACTAGATAAAAAGAAGGTCCGATAGGTATACTATAAACGTCCTCCAAGTTCCATAAAATATAGAGTAGCAAATTTCACGTCGAATTATTTGATGTGAACTTCTGAAAATCTTTCAAACAACATCGATCTCTCATTCCACAAAGAAAAATAGGTATGCTTGCATTTAATTAAAGGTAAACAGTATTGATGGAAGTAGCATATTCAGTTTTGTATTTTATTATGAAATCGATCTGCAACGACAACAAATGAAGCAAAAAATCAGTTGTTGATGTTTTTTCCAAAGATCAATTTTTGTTTTACATAATTTTGTTAAAAATGAAATATTATGAAAAATTAAAATGACAAAGTTATCAGATGAATTTTTGAAATATTATCAGGTGAGTTTTACCAGATGTTATCAGATGAATTTTTGAAATATTACAATTGCCTGATATTAAATTCCTTTAATTTCAAATGTAATACGATGTTAAATATCTTGAAAGATTATTATATAGGATTATATAATATGAATTTCACTTTTTCAATTTTCTACGTTGAATGCCAAATCCACCTGCATCCTCAATGACAAATACGAAATGTGGCATAGCAAATCGAAATAATACTATTTATTCATTTTGGATTGGAATAGTCTTGCAATCATAGATATATACCAAAAATAGAGGTGATAATATCAATATTCAATATAAAAAACAAGTGCTATATGCCTACCCCTTTCTTCGTCAAGATGATCACATAAATTTACCCGAAGTAACACTTCTTTCAGTTTTAATCAATCTCAGATTCTCTCATCGGGAATTCATGATCAATCATTTAGTGACTAATATTATATCTGAAGAAAGAAGTTATTTTAAATATTTGGATCCGAAGAAACTTAACTTTGCAAAATGAATGAAATGATAAACAACTACTGATAGTATAGTTTTGCACGGAGAAAAAGAGATGAATTTCAAAAGAAAAATTTTCCTACACGTATGATTTACCTTTCCTTACTAAATGATAATCCTCAATTAACGAAAATTAAATCTTTAATTATCTAGAAATAAAAATAATTTAAAATCAGAATAAAATATATGAGATGAGATGATATATATATATATAAAACACGATAACATTTCACACAATCTGATATTGCTCAACAATCCATAAAGAAAAACAAACTTCTGGGTTTCTATATCGGATAAAAGGCTGAAGATCAGTGATGATGGTGACAAGCAAAAAATTGACCAGAGTGGAAAATGCTACGAGAAAATACAGCTTTCTCTCTCTCTCACCATCAATTCATCGCTCTTTTACTAATGTCCCCATTTCTCCATTCACCATTTCAAAGAGCGGATAGTGAAAAAGCTTTTTAAATTAACAATTGTATAACCCTTCACTCTTCTCTCCCCCCTATTTGCTTACCTTTCTCTCTTTCACCTTCTTACAGGGGAGAGGAAAATAACTGCTCTAGCTGCAAATGATAAATTTGAATAGCTCAATATGAGATGCTGTTGAAGTAGGTTTGTTTTTAGAATAATAAATTCCTAAAAAAATAATATCAGTAATTAAAAATGATAATGATATGATAATGTTGTATAATCTTTTTTTGGAATAAATAAACAAAAGTTCGAAATGAAATTTGAAAATAACATGAAATTCGCTTAATTCGCTTATCAGGCAAAATTTGATATAACAAAGGAAATCATTGATGAGTCATCTTTGTGTATGATATATTTTCACGTAAAATGTGGTGGGAATTTACTGCAAATAGATAAAAGAAATCCTACTGCATGAAGAAATCCTACTATTTTCTCCCCTTCTTTCTTCTATTATCTGCAAAATTGTTCCCCTTTCTCTCTCTCTCTCTCTCTCTCTCTCTTTCTTCCTTTATCTGCCATATATTTCTACGATCTTTCAGGTTCATGCATTTTTAAATTTTTGAATGTGATGATTTTTTTCTTATGAAATTATTTGAAATCAAATCGTCAAACATTAAACTATCATAATTTGAAGTCCTCAGATCTGTCAAGTTTGCTTTTCAGAAGCATCCATACCTTCCAAAATTAACTTACGTTGTTCATAAAGAATCTTTTTAATCTTAAAAATTGATAAGCTAGTCTTCGAAGCCTGAACATTCTTTGGATCTTCAATCAATCTTAAGTCATAGCCAATTTTGTTGGATTCAAGTTCCATTAAGCCGTTTTACAGTAAAGTTCAACACTACAGTTGAGAGGCTAAGTTTACAGATATTTCAAAAATCCATTAATTCGTTAATTTCGAATTGATGCTAAATTACATCTCTGTGCTTACTGCAGCTTCAAAGATCCTTTCTCTCGATTCATAAGTCAATTATATCATTCTGCACAGAGAATGTTTCTCCTCTCTACAAAGTACTGCTCGTTTATTACTCAGAAATTGATTCAGTGATCGGTTAAGAAATTCATAATTTTATCCTTCATCTTCTTTTCATTATTTTGTCAGTAAGAAGACATGAAAACTAGGGGGGAATATCGGGGCGAAACAAAAGCAATGTGGGAAAGATGGCTTCAATCGTCATTGATTCATTCGTTTCTTCACTTTTTGTTAAATTCAAAATTAGAGCTGAGAAATTCAGATATCATGCATCATTTTAGAGGAATCAAAATTTCGACACATTACGTAATGATATTTTGTTCATCAAATATTTCAGTAAAATTTTTCTTCATTATCCCTGGCTCAAACTCTCCATATGGAACGTTTGAGGAGAATCACCGCATGTTTTAAATGTTTTCGAATAGGACAAATAACAAGTGATGATAAAAAAAGGGAAACTTTCTTGTTACCACTATGAAGATTCCCATAATACGGCACTGAATCCTCTCAAATATAAACTCAAGAACTCATGCATTTAGTCAGGGACAATCGGTTTTTACTACAATCACAAATTCTATTATCAAAGATAGAAATCAGAAAGGTAAGTTTAATTTGCTTTTATGCAAAAGATAAATGTAGTCAATTCAAACCACCCAGAAATTTAACAAAAAGTCTCACCATTATTTGATATCGATTCTCAATTATCGTTTATTGTTTATGTGTGAGGAATTAGCCAACCGATTAAATGTACGAGAAATCAAAGAAATGGAACTAAAAATTGCTTCACTTGATAACAAGATCCTAAAACCGTGTCTTACTACTAAAACCGAAATTGGATTAAAAATCAGAAAAAAGAATTAATCCCATTAGAATTACTTACACTTGACTACTTGACAAATGAAATACAAGTAGTTAATCTCAATAGGAAAGATTTATCAATGATAAACCAATAAAATCAACCAAGCAATCTCAAAGGTCAATGGAAACAACCGAACATCAGATCTCATCAAATCAAAATACAAATTCATTCAGTTTGATAAAATTTAAGGGAATTTAAAATCCCGATTTTCTTTGCTTCACACAGGGTGTATCTTACCGTATGAATGAAATTTACTATTCGATGGAGTCCATATATGTTGTTAATGGCATCAGTATTGCAGACTTTAGTCACTTTTGGAATCTGGAATTAATAGGCATTCAAGAACAATCCAATGCCTGTGATGCTGAGAAGGCATTACAGCAATTCAAACAAAGTATCACTAAAGTAAAGCAAAGGTATCAAGTTTGTTGGCCATGAAAAGATTCAAAGATCAAATTGAACGATAATTGTGGACTTTGTTTCGCAGACCAAAATGATTAATCACGAGGCTTTAGGCTGATCCTCAGTTACTTAATCGATATAACAGAATCATCAAGGAACAGCTGAATTCCAACATAATCGAGAAAGTGTCATCAAACATGAATCAGATTGGCACCATTCATCATCTAATCTGAGGAACATCTACCAAACCATGGCAGAAATGAGAATCATTATCAGCTCACTCCAAAGAAATGAAAAGCTTAAACGACGTCTTGTATCGGAGACCGTTAACACTTTCCGATTTAATTGAAGTATTGCTTCGTTTCCGCATAATGAAAAACTTGATAGTAGTAGATATAGAAAAGACATTCCTGCAAATCGAACTGTATCTGACACAGAGAAACTGTACTCGATTTCATTGATTAAAGGATGTTCGAGGTCCAGTACACAAAGAAAACGTAAATTGTTATCATTTCAAAACAGTTGCTTTTGGGATCATATCATCTCCCTATTTATTATCATTTATTATCTTTGGATTATCATTTGGTTTTAAAATTTCAAATTCCCAATTCTGTTGTTCATTTTCTTTTCGTCATCATTTTTTGCCTCGTTTTGCATTTCTTTTTATCTTTCACGGATCTTGGATTAAGATTTGAAGTAACACGTTGCAGGAAGCCGATAGAAAAGGCTACACAAATGATGCAATGATAATTGCAAAGATAGATGAAGAGAAATATTTTTCTTAGGCAATCACTTCAAAACTTAAGCAATGAAAGATTATAAAGGACAATTTAAAACATACAGACATTTGTTAATGATTTCTCTTTCTTCGTTTTTATTTCCGATTTGTGCCTCATCAATTCTCAATACAATCACAGTGAATGTTTTGAAGCTATAAGATTTCTTAATTAGTTCCGGTTTTCTAATTATTATAATGATCCTGATCAATCTCAAAACTTTCCATTCATTGAGAGTTGCAAATTTTTGAACGCTGCCAATAATTACTGCATTCTTATGAAAGCCAATTATTCATAAGTTATGCGCAAACTTTCTTTTCATAACTGAGTGGTGAATGATTTCTCAGTTCTCTTTCAGAATTTTAATAATCATTGATAGTAAGTAATTAAGTGTTACTTATAGAAATTAATGTTAAGTTTCACATGAATCCCATTTGAAAAACGTCATTGTGATCGTACAAATGAAGATTATAATCATCAATAATAATTATTATAGTAATTAGTGGTGGCAATAATAAATAATAACAATAAATAGTAAATAATAAATAATAATAACAACAATAATAAATAATAACAACAATAAATAATAATAATGATAATAATAATAACAATAATCATAATTGTAATTATAAATAATAACAATAATATTGGGATCTTCTATTACGCTAAATAACGTTATTTGCTGATTTTTAAAGGTCCTCTTATGCATCCTTTAACTTATCTAGAAGTCTTGATCAGTCGAAAAATGGCAATTATTTCAGATCTTTTACAGATGGAGAACTCTACCGTGCATACGCATTAGTCTAAAGAGAAGTAGCAGAGGCAAAAGGAATGAATTAATGAAAATAGCAAAACATAACTGCTTTCAGCGGAATTAATGACAATTTACAAAGTTTTAAATTTGTCTAAAATAGTGAGATGGATAGGACGAGAAAAAGAAGCAATAGGAGAGAAATGGGTAGAAACAATTTGATTATTCTTAGCGCTCAAAAATATTCGATAAAAAAGAAATGGAGTATATTTTTATCAAATTCGAAAAAGAAAATGAAATTGGTCGGTGGTTACTAATTACGAGAACAGGCAGAATCGAAAGAAATAAGGGCTAATAAATCAACCATGTATTCCACGACCTTGAGTTCACTGACCATTGATCAAGACCTGTAATTTAGAATAATGTGTAAATGACATAAAGAAAGTGCCATTTGGGAGGAAAACGAAAATTCGAAAATTTCCAGTTAAATGAATTTATTATACTCCATAATCTTTCGAATCGGACAAGCCATTTGTTTGTAGGATGCGTTCGCCGCTTCGTAAAATAAAATAAGATTCAGGCCTAAACAAAGTTATGACGCTCATGATGGTTCTGATTTTATTTGAAATTAGTCATTCAATAATAGCCAGTATGCAAGAAAATTTTCCATTTAATTTTAGAAATAAGAAATCCAACACGGTAGCCTCAAAAAGAAACTAAGAATGATTCTTTTAAAAACTAAAAAAGAAAAGCAAAAGTTTCACAATCGAAAGGATATTAATGACACCTTTATGTAGTTTTTATCATTCAAAAAAGTGATAAAACAGGATTGTTAGCCCAAAAAGTATTCCCTATAAACGTTATTACAGTTGATAGATATACTACAGTTGATAGATACTACGCCACATGAAAAATACATATAGGAAGTGACCTCCTCAGAAGCGATATGTACATTTTATATCGAACCTTTATCTTTTACTGAAATTGATAGCAGTTTATGCGCTCCATATACACTAGTTTTTATCGTTATCGACGCCATTAAAATGGGTCTGCATCTAAATAGAGAAATTTATTACAAAAAAAAATTTGATATCAAGAAATTCAAGTAAATTTACGCCAAAATCATAATAGTTATGCAGAGTGTACCAAAAAGATAAAATAAGCTTATTATCCTCTCTTAGGATACCACACACGTGACGTTGAGAATACATTAGAACGGGAAGAACAAAGGAATACGTTTAAAAAACGCTTTTAAGTTCATATCCGGTTTAATTGCCACTCCAGTAATTATCACAAAACCGTTGGTATTCTTCGAATCAGAAAAGATCTCCTCAAAAGTCCCAACTTCTATGTTCCTCACTGTTATCTACTCATTGACTGATCCACTAAATAATTAACTGATTGACCACTCCAATTTAATATTTCCTGATTAATCAAAAATACGCTCTAAAGCTGCAATACTCGATATTGGTTTTGACAGGATAATTAACGCAAGGCATTTAAAAGCACTTGAAGTTCGGCCAGTTTCAGTTATCATTGGAAGTCGACGGTTGGTTGCTTTATTCGAAGCTGTTTGCGTGGTTAGGAGGTGTTTGGGAGTAATGACGTATTTTTTTACGAGTTAATATACACCGAATTGTATGTTTAACACATCTGATTGTGTTGTCATTAGGTCTTTTGTAATATTATATGGGTCATGGCATTATTATTAGACCAAGTATAGGCTTTTGGGAGAAATATGTTTAATTTTGCAAACGGTAACTAATTTCAGATATAATATTAGACAAAGTGGTCTTGGTCAAGTCTATAGACAACAACTGTAGCATATCACAGTTATGGCGAGTGACAGCGACCTCAACGTTGACCACCTTATTACTCGACTTCTAGAAGGTCTAGTACACATTTGATTCCTTTCATTTCAATAATTGTTTATTAATGAAACAACTTAGCTTACTATTCATTGCTGGATTTTACAATTCAGCAAACATTTCGTTACATTGTCAAGTACGTTTAATGTCTTTTTTCCTGTTTCGTGCACTCAGAAAGAACTTTTTGTTGAAGAAATTAGAGCTGGTGTCGTTTCTGACAACTGACTCCATAATGGAAAAATTATTTGACTTTCTTTATATCTATCGAGAGGCATTCAACTTTTTTTCTTACTGATGAAACTATATTCAGTTCTTTTGATGTAATTTGTGACATAAGTGACTTCTTTTCGCATTTTTTCCATTTATGTTATGAAACCAGTTACAAGAAAAAATTCGACTTCCTAATGAAAGCGTTTGTTGTTTTCTTTCATTTATTTGACAGAAAAAATTCAGCTTGTAAGAAAGCATAGCTTCAGAGACTTCAGAGCTTAAGTCTTTACTGAGCCTGATTTGTCAAGAATTCTTGCGAGTTAGATAAAGCTCGTAATTGCATGATGGGGCGATTCAGTGAGTTGCTCGCCTTTGAAGTGGTTTACTAAGTTCTAAATAATGAGTATCAGTGAGTACGTATGTCTGTATTTCAGTGCGCGGATGTCGACCCGGGAAAACTGTTCAGATGTCGGAAAATGAAATAAGAGCGCTCTGCCACAAAAGCAGGGAAATTTTTTTATCACAACCCATTCTTCTGGAACTCGAAGCGCCTCTTAAAATCTGTGGTTGGTTTTTTTAACTTAATGTATATTATCAGCTCGTCTGGTTTAGCTAAAAACAAGATATAATTACCAATTTCATTTTACTTTTTTATATCCAAAAGCAACAGGAAAGTCAATGCTGAACCTCTTAAAAGTTTGACTCAAATGGATAATGAAAGTACATCCTTTAGATTTTTGAGTAACTTTTGAAATCTGTTGCCTCCAATTGTAGCTTCAATTCCACATATTTTGTAGGAGATATTCATGGGCAGTACAATGATTTATTGCGATTGTTTGAATACGGTGGATTCCCGCCGGAGGCAAATTACCTTTTTCTTGGAGACTACGTTGATCGAGGGAAGCAAAGCTTAGAGGTTGTGTTGTAACTGAAATTTCAGTGTTCTTTTTTATGAATTTAGAAGTATTTAGCAATATTTTATAAAGTTTTATAACTTTTTAAATGCTTTTGATGCATACTCTATTATTGTAATATTTTCTTTAGATCTATAAATTCCAGCTGTAAGATTATTCAGATTTGATGCTATTGATGCATCATTTCACCAGTTGTTCGCAGTTCATTATAATTTATCAAATACAACTTATTACTTTATGAATCTGAATAAATATCTTCATTGCTACCACAAAAATTCCACTGTTGCGTGTTTAACCATAATGTTTACAGACAATATGCTTGCTGTTGGCGTATAAAGTGAAATATCCCGAAAATTTTTTCTTATTACGAGGAAATCACGAATGTGCTAGTATCAATCGTATTTATGGATTTTATGATGAATGTGAGATTTGTTAATTTTCGGTAAATGTAACGCAGAATTTGAATATGTTATATGTTTTAACTAAAGTAAGAATTATAGGCAAACGCCGATTCTCGATAAAACTGTGGAAAACATTCACTGATTGTTTCAACTGCCTACCAATAGCCGCCCTAATAGATGAAAAGATTTTCTGTTGTCATGGAGGACTTTCTCCTGATTTACAAAATATGGAACAGATCCGGAGAATAATGCGACCAACAGATGTTCCCGACACTGGTACTTCTCTTCCGCTTTAGATTCTTTCGGTTTTCCTGCATTTGTCATTTTGCTTATTACTGATCTACTTCTTAGTTTTCAAGAACTCAAAAATCTTTGAATTTCAGCGTTTTTATTAGTTACAGGAATGCAACAGGAAATTTCAGGTCTTCTCTGTGATTTGTTGTGGTCTGACCCTGATAAAGATGTGCAAGGTTGGGGAGAAAATGATCGAGGAGTGTCTTTTACATTTGGACCTGATGTTGTAGCAAAATTCTTAAATCGCCATGATTTGGATCTAATATGTCGAGCACACCAGGTAATTAAAATATTGGATTTCAAGACGTTTATTGCGTTACCATTTCAATTCAATTCAACACAAATTAAATTTTACATGCGAGGAACAAAGTAACCACTTTCTCCTAATCTCTGTTTTTTTCTTACTGATATTGAGGAATATATTTTGATAAAATTGAATTGCGGGTTATTAAAAATATATTTTTCAAATGCCATATTTTTTTACTACCAGCAAAGCTTTGCATTCTAACTGTTTTTTAAATTGATGTTTTCACAACAAAAAATTCAAGTTGTTAACATCGAATTGACTAATGAGAATAAATGGTGGCAGACTTTTGAATATATTTTTTGAATGAATTTTTTCAACTTTTGTTCATTCTTACTCTCTTAAAAACTATTTTGAGTAATTTTTTTTGAAGTGAAAATATTACGCGCTTTAAAATTCACTGAAGAAGCTGTCTTTAGGTAGTAGAAGATGGTTACGAATTTTTTGCTAAACGTCAGCTTGTTACATTATTTTCGGCCCCAAATTATTGCGGTGAGTTCGACAATGCAGGTGGTATGATGAGCGTTGATGAAACACTGATGTGTTCCTTCCAAGTTTGTTTTTAAAGCATAAAATTACGATAGTTTATCAAACGTTTAATTATGGAAGTTTTCTGGCTTTTATTAAGGAAGGATTTTAATAAGCTTTTTGTCTTTACCTCTTTTCAGGCTTTTTAGACCTGTGACATATTTCTGTGACATATTCTGCGTGCTGTTTTACTATAGCTCTACTGTCTTACTGCTTCCTTTTATTAAGCATCAGATTCTTACTTTATAGATCCAGATAGCATATTGAGTTCCTTTTTCTTAATTTCTCGATTCTTCAGATCCTGAAACCATCTGAGAAAAAGGCCAAATATCAGTACGCTGGACTGAACAGCGGTCGTCCGATCACATCACCGCAGAGAGCGGCTGGTGCAGCAACTGGTGGAATTCAAAAAAAGAAGTAAGTCGAAGCATGGCACGTATCAGCAAATGTCTTTATCTCCCACTCTTTTTTTCGACTTCAATTTTCCCTGCAACTTCGTCGCCTTCATAACTTTCGTTTCTGTGTAAACGCACACCGAACATTTTTCTAAGCAAAATTTTTTGGTGTGAATTTCCAGAGAAATTTAATGACTATTTGATAATCCATGCAAATTATTTGCTTGCTCCTTAATAATTTAGGATTCCAGCTGCTTGATGACATCCATAAGTCTTTGAAAATCAAAAACTGCAAAAATTAGAGGGGAAAAAAATAAATGCTTTTATGTTAAAAATGAGGTTAGAACTTCAAAAACATTGATATATAAATGACAGACCAATGCTGTCGTAAAAATAGATGATTTTCGGTTTTGTTTTCTTTGCCAGCTACTCATTTGTACCTCTTCTGTTGTAGTGTGTGATTTCTTACAGTATGTCAGCGTAACATATCATTCAGTAAAGTTACTGTAGAAGGCGCAATAGGTATAAAGTTGAAGGTGGGAGTTTTGGACCGTGGGCTCCATATTTTCGCGAACAATAGTAAGGGGGCGAAAACTATACTGAATTTTATAAAGGTTTCCGTGGACAAACAGGTTTTGAAAAAGCTGGTTCGTCATAGAGTGTTTCATGCGATGTTTGATTAAGAACTGAAAGTAAGCAGTAAATCGCTTCTTCGTCTTCTATAGTTTATATTTGGAAAAAAGATTCATTTTCATTGCTTTATACTGCTACTTCATTTTCTAGTACTTTTGTATACTTTTGTGATTGAAGCGAAGCCTGTTGCACTTCTAGGCGGACCATTGCCTAGATGTGAATTGATGTGCTTTATTTTAGCTAGGAAGGGAATAAAGTCTATTTCGTATGATTTATTAATTTATAAAAAAATATAAGAAAAAATATTTCTGATTTGGAAAGCGCATTCTAAGAATTATTTTAATTTTTGAGTTTTTACTGACCTAAAGGAGATCCAATTAATCCATTGTTTTTTCGCGCTCAAAATTCACTCTAATTTCCACAAGCAACTCCATGGATTTGCATACATAAATTTATATCTGTCTTACTGAGCGTTTAGGAAGAGGTACTGGTGACTGGCGAAGTACCAGTCTTATTTACGCTGGAGTTTCTTTACATGATGGTTTTGCATCGCTTGCAAACGCAATTCGCAAAAGACTTTTTCTCTTTATATTGATATCAAATGAACGAGGGATCGACAAATATTAATTATTTATGGCATGCATATTATGCAATATTGTAAATGATGTTGCATTAAGTGATAAAATGAGACACTTGTGATAACTTCTATCTTATTTATCGAGTTGTATTTTAATATATAATAAGATTAAAAGAGATGAGCAACAAAAGTTACCGGTATGCAGTATGAATTGAAGGGACAATGAACTAACTATAACTTCTATTAATCTAAAAACACAAAACTAAGAACTGTGATTTATATAGAAGTTATTTACATCATGTTTCTGCAAATGATGATTGGGAGGATTTCCAATAAGTTTTCCGGAGGACCTTCTCTCCAGTCTTATGCAATTTAAGCATCAAAATCCAAAGCATTTCAAGCCTACGATGACGAAATTTCAAATAGTTGACGATTGAAAGATCCGTTGCTCCTGCCCAATCAAATTCATTCTGTGATATTTGTCAGTTGTTGCGGTAATAGACTGAAAAGTTAAGTTGTGAAAAAAACCTCAGCAAATCAGAAGTTGGATGTAAAAGAGCAAACGAATTAGTTTTATTTTCTAAATTCTCTGAAAGAGATTAAACCTCATTCAAAATACTCGTTAGGTTTCTGTTTAGTATTTTATGAAACAAGTGCACGAAAAAGCAGTAACCTAATACGATGTTTGGAATGAAAAATTCAAATATTTAGAATAAACATACTAAAGTATAACTGTTGGAATTATCATTACAATAGCAAGAATGTAAAATGACAATTGAGGCAAGGAATAGAGCGATAGCGGGAAAAGTGTATGAAATATTATGGCGGCCACCAAGTTGCTCATTGCTTCAGTTACCGCGAATAACGTAAACATGGAGCCTAAATTCGGAATTCTTACAAAGGATTTAAAATTTCATGATTGGAGTGATGAATGCTTAATCTTTATTTGCACGCATTCTTGGTGATCAACATGTGAAGTGACATTTTACGAAACGAGCATCCCAAACTTATGCCTAATTATAACCGGAATCGTTTATAAAAATTCAATCAGATCTGATACTTCAATTTTTTGTTATTTTGTCACTCCACATGTTGATTACCAAGAATTTCGTCCAAACAAATGCCCGCATACAGTAAAAACGTTTTGGCAGACTGGATATTTGAAGTCCTTGCTTACTATTAATACATATATAAAAACATATCAATATTGAATAGAGTACATACCATGATTCTTAGTCGGTACGATGCTGGCCGAGACTGCTCTCATACCAGAAGCAGCAAAACGTGTAAACGAATCGAAAAGCACCACTAAGAAAATACGGATTAATTTTTATCTCTAGAACTTTAAACTTTAGTGAAGACATTCGCTCTAGAACTTTAAACTTTAGTGAAGACATTCGTTTACATCCCAGAAAAACCAGCAACATATATTTAGGTATTAAATACGGTACAAATTTCTAAAATAACTAGGTTAATAACTAAATCCTTACATAAATCTAGTCTAGTTGGGATTTGCGAAAACACAATCTCACTCTTAAAAAATTCCGCATTCCAATGATTGATCCGTATATGGTAGCGTAAATCTATATAATAGGTATTAGATATTACTATAAGAGGAAAATATCATCTAACATAAAAACGTAGATGGTGTATTCCATGCAATAGCAAGCCACAGTCTACCCAACGCTCTTGAAATTAGTCCAATAAGAGCAAGCGTTCGATCAGTGAAATTATGCGTTCGCAATAATGGATAAACAAACATTACCTATAAAGTCACTGTTTATATGAAAATTAATGATGTAAGGTTGAAACAATAACTGAGAGTTGAAAAAATTGACGTCCAATTTAATAAAAAAAAACTTTCCACAATTTACTACATTAATCTATATTTAGAAAAATTTTAAATCAGTCACATTTAACACTGCGAGTCCTTGCGTGGGTCCTTTAAGGAATCCATACAGTGCAGCATCCCAGCCAAATCGATATTTTAGATAATAGAATAAAATGTGAGTTGAACCTAAAAGTATCACAAATCATTTAATATAATTCTCAAAATTTTTTCTTGAAGTTTTAGTTGTTCCCATTTTTTTATTTTTTATCAAATATGATGAAAAAAAAAACAGATGCAATGAGAGGTCTTAAATAATCATCCACTGTAACTGGTTAATCCTACGAGCAAAACACTTAGAGCACTATGTATGAGAAAGGCAGAAGCCTTTTTTCGAGACAAGGAGTTGAATATATCATGGATTGATGGTCGAAATTGTTTGAAAAAATTTCGATTACTACTGACCTATGAATGTGAAAAAAGAAACAGCGAATGCTATGATCAGGGCTATGAAAGTACCAATTCTTTTCTGCTGCCACAAAAATTTCTGCAATGTATTTAAAAGGCGAATATTGTCTCGCTTTTCTCTATTTTTTACCGCTGTTTATAAGTCCCAGTGGCCAAAAAAATCAGTGCTTAATCGAATCGTGCCTTCAAAATCGTGTTTAATAAAACTGCACAAATTTAACAAATTACGTTGTTTTGTATTTTGTATTAATAACCACTCAGTCTAATTCCATATTGACATGAATTTTGACCCTAATGATACACAGCAATAGTGATGTAGACTGTCATTTATACTATAATTTCATCAAAGGGAAATTTATTGCTCTTTATCTCTTCAAATGAACTCATCAATTTATTTTATAGCTGATATATAACAGTAACCCTAATTAGTCCCATTATAGTAACCTTAATCGTAGACATCAATAGTGATGTAGACTGTCACTTTTATTAGATATATTTCAAAAAAATTGAGCAGTTCCAGCAAAACGAAAGTACTTACGACTAGATCGAATCCAAACATATCCTTTTTGTATGCTGTTTCTGTACTTCTGTTAATGGATGGAAGAAAAAATACTGCCACAAAACAAATAATATATATTATCAGAAATGCTGTAAAAAAACCAACGAATCCCCAAAACTTCAGCAAGAATGTGAATAAGTAACCGATTGTACCTGCAGAAATTTTAGATTAGAATTAAAGCTGAAATTTCGAAAAGGTTGAATTTCCTACCTCCAAATCCAATAGCACCCTCCAGAACTGCGATAATTAATGATCGACATTTTGGTGGATAAGTGCACATAGAATCAGTGGCATAGGCAAAAAATGCCGAAAAAATGGACATATAGCCACCAAAAGCTGCGAAAAGCGCTTCACTCCCAACTAACCAATACACTGAAAGCTAAAATAAATTCGACAGATCAAATCGTTAGAAAAATTTGACAGCTGAAATTGATTAACAATTATTTGACTTAAAAAGTTATGAAGCGTTGCATTAAAAATACTTAAACGTTTTGTTGAAAAAAGTGATATTAAAAAAATTAATGAAATATTATAAAATACTTCAAATATTGAAGATTTTTCAAATTGCTCACCTCCATATAATATGACTGCACCACCAATGAGATACCTTCAAATACAAGTCCACTGAATGGTATTAACAACGCCGCTTTTCGAGATTTCGTATCACCAAGTCGTCCAATCATTGCAGATGTAAAAATCCCGATCGAGCAAATCGCAACATTGCTAAAATTTTTTTATTGCAATTATTGCAAAGAAAATCTTCGATAAATAAAAAAAACCGTTAAAATATTCAATGGTTTATATTTTTGAAGGCACTTAACTTACATATGGAAGAAGCTTACAAGTATTCTGACTTTTTGCATATGCAGTAATTTAACTTCATTCGCTTTAATACTTGTTTAATAAAATAAATAATCAACTGGACATATTCCCATGAAAAAAATGAACCTGAACCTCAACAAAAGTATCCAATTTGCTATTGTCTGCAATTCTATATTAGATGAAATCTGAGGATGTGAACAGCTCACATTAATGCCTATTCGATCACCATACTGCAAACATGCCTAAAAATAACATAAAGTAAGAGTGAAAAGAAACAACATAAGATTTTACTCTATAGGCCCATTGTTGACAAACTAGTTAATGTAACAAAATAATTGTTTTTCCAAAGGTGTTCAAACAATAGAGAAAACGTGTACGAACAATTTGAATAAAACACAGCGCGGCCGAAGATGATATGTTACAAGGCTGTCTTCAAAGTCATAAGTGATGCTAATTAAGGTTTCATATTATTGGGTATCCTGTCCTTTACCTTTGCTATCTGAATGCAACACGAAATCATTATAAAGTCTCGGATAATTTCGGATGATACATCAGTACGGCTAGAAATATCACAGGTTCATGTACCTTCAGTTATCCTTCATAACTATGACATTTTCATAATAGTATGTATAACCTTCTAGAATTGCCCTTCGGAAGATGGATCGATAGCCCGTGATACTTTCACACGACCACACGACAATGAAATGTATCCGCTTCTTTTCTAAAGGTTTTGGAACCTTTAGAAATAGTTCGTTTAATATCACTTTGGTATTATTCAATCAATACCATCGAGATATCTTAGTCAAATCTTTTAATAAAATAAAGCAACAGAAGAATGAAGAAACTCACCTTTTGATAAATAAGTGATTGAAAAATCGGGTGATACATAAAGCATGTAATGGAATATAGGCATAACGGTATATTAATCCTAATAGTTTTCAGAAATAGAAACTTGACATCATACGTCGCAGTATCAGCAACTTCTGTTTCCATCTCCCGTACGTTTCAAAACTAACAATCGTTAAAAATTGAAAGAAGGGAAAACAAGAAATGGTATCTTTTAGAAGATTCGAAATTTAAACAAGGATGAGACCCACCAAAGCTATTTTGTTAACAGCAATGAAAGATCGATAGAAATATCAACCTATGACAACTATGTAAATTGAAACAAATCCCTCCCTAGATGAATGATCTCTGGCCTTCATTGTGTAAAATATTGTTAGTAGTGGACGAAAGGGACAATAGAGTTTTATGAGAAATATAATTTAACACATAAATTTGCAGAAAGAACATTTTTTCGTTTGATGATACTGACAACCTTTTCTTGTTGGGGAAACGATTTTTTCATCTTTGCAATTTGTTTCATGCAATCAGTCGGAATATATCACACCGAGAAGACTTTTATGAATGTTTTATATTGGTAGAGGAGGAATGAATTCAATTGGTGTTACTGTTGCAGTTTTATTCTGCATTATACTTAAAGTAATCACTTCTCATTTGAAACAAAAAGGATAACAAAAACATGGATAACAGTAATCAATTGAAATTCATGGCGATGGAAAACCAATCGTACCACAAGCCAGTGGTAGTATATCTTTGTTACGTAGCGACCATTCCATTACTGATAATTTATGAATCACCAATGAGTGACCAATTAGCGAAATGTCTTGCGGCCAATCAATTTCTCGATCTAGGTATACACCAGATTTCAAAAATCTTTTATTCTTTCTTCATCAAATAATTAAATATGAATGAAAAATTTAGCAAACCAACTTTTGTGAAAAATATCAAAGTGATGGAAGTATATATAAGGGATGCAACCATTTCATATCTTTTCTTTATTCTTCTTAGTGCTTCCCAGACAGCATTAGAGTCAAATGCATTAAATTCACTTTTACGACTTATTAAATTCATTATTTTCTAAATGTGAAGTTTATTTCACCCCGTAATACCATTAGCATCTACCAGGCTCTTCTTAACATCATCATTATTTTCTCCATTTTCAATCTTAGACTTTCTCAAAATTTAACAATCAATTCTTGTATATGCATAAATCTCGATTAGTATACAAAAAACTTTCTTTGCCAAAGCTTCAAATTTTATCTTTAATTGATTAATAAATGAATTCTATGTTGTACCAATCGAAATAGATCTTTTACAAATGTCTGTCACCTATGTCATTTAGTTGAAAATTAAACAAATTTTCATTAACTTATTTTTTTCAACAAATTTTAACCAAGTCACAAATTTTTAAAATAGATCTGCCTATCGATACTTCTTGTTTTTTCTTTAACAATCTCTAATAGAAAATTTAACGAGAGCTTAAATAATGGAGCAAACTAATACTTTAGCATGTTTTGTGCTTCCAAAAATCTATTACTGAAACTTACCAATTGTTGTATTCTTAATACCATCCGCTTTAATATTTCCAAATATCGAAGATACATTAAATTTTTTGTCAGGTGCCATAATGGGACCAATATTAGCGCATGAATCGGATAAATCACCAGCCTGATGCACAATGAGTGCATGTTCACCATTCGGCAATCCTGAATGCATAGATATAGGTAGGTATAATAGGTATAATGCATAAGTAGCTGTAAGAAAATCACATTATTTTATCTCTTTTTCATTCGAACATTCATAACTGTAACTTATAACAGCCACAATTATATCATCAACATAAGTGTTTGGTCGAAAAGTCTTTGGGCTTATTTGCCTTTTCTAGCCTATTATTTAGCTTATTCAAGTTACTTAATGAATGGTGCAAAGTGTTGATTCTCATGCAAAAGAACTTAAACCTACTTATTTGCAGCAAGAAAAAGAAATGTCCAACATACATTTAAAGGAGCCAAAACCCAAAATGGGCATTTGACGATACAAAAAGTGAAAAAGTGCTTTGTGCTTCATAACGACAAAAATCTCTTCACCACATCCTCACCCTCTGCTTCTTTTCTGGAAACAAAAATCTTCAAGTTTAACAAAAATAAATTTATTGTTTCACATTTTTAATTATCACAAGCATGGCTTAAGAGTTTTTCGTCGTAATCGATTAGTGCTAGTTGAAAATGCAAAATGTGGAAAGTAGTGATAAATCAAAAAATTGAAATGCATTAAAAAACATTCATAGAAAAAATTAAAAAAGTTTGCAACCACAAATCTATACTTATAGCTGCATACATTTCTAAGAAACCTATCCTATCCTACAAATCTATCTTCTTTATACATTTCTAAGAAATCTATCCTATCCTACAAATCTATCTTCTTTATACATTTCTAAGAAATCTATCCTATCCTACAAATCTATCCTCTTTATACATTTCTAAGAAATCTATCCTATCCTACAAATCTATCTTCTTTATACATTTCTAAGAAATCTATCCTATCCTACAAATCTATCCTCTTTATACATTTCTAAGAAACCTATCCTATCCTACAAATCTATCTTCTTTATACATTTCTAAGAAACCTATCCTATCCTACAAATCTATCTTCTTTATACATTTCTAAGAAACCTATCCTATCCTACAAATCTTCTTTATACATTTCTAAGAAATCTATCCTATCCTACAAATCTATCCTCTTTATACATTTCTAAGAAACCTATCCTATCCTACAAATCTATGCTCTTTATACATTTCTAAGAAATCTATCCTATCCTACAAATCTATTCTCTTTATACATTTTTAAGAAACCTATCCTATCCTACAAATCTATCCTCTTTATACATTTCTAAGAAACCTATCCTATCCTACAAATCTATTCTCTTTATACATTTCTAAGAAACCTATCCTATCTTACAAATCTATCCTCTTTATAAATTTTTAAGAAAAAGAAAATTTCAAGCTATATGGAAGATAAGTATCTCACACTTCCATTTTAGCAATTTCACTCATATCACTAATAACATAATCGGTTTATCTAGTAAGATCATCTTATATTATTCAGTTACTGTTTCTATTGATAAACATGGACCGGTTGTCAAATCTTCCCTTTGTCATTCTGTGATATTTGTTTATCAATCTTTAAAATTTTTAATTCATTTATAAAAAACACTAAGACAAAATATCATTTGTCACATAATGGCTGCAAGGAACAAAAAAATCTATAAAATCTGTTTTCCTTTTTTTAATAAAGAACATGAATGGATTTTTATGTGAAATAAAAACGAGAAAAAGGAGGAAATAAAACAGCTAATTGTGGACAGTACCAAAATACAAATGGTCAGTCAATCATAACTATGCTATGTCATCAACGGTGACCCTTGCACCAAGAAAATCGTTACTTCTATTTTGACTCAATTTTGGATTGTTCTTGGGAAATTAAAACATGAAGAAGTGAAAATCGTGGATGTGCTATGAAGTGATGAAGTTGAAATAAGTTTTGAGTGCAACAAGTAAGCGAAAATTAATAGTAGTACATAGTGATAAGAAGTTGATATAGTAGTATGATAAAGATAAGAAGGGTTAAACAACACAGAGTCTTGTAAACTGATGCTAGAATAGCCACTGAAAGCTAATTGATGATTCAACTGATAGTATCTGTTCTTGTAGCAAACTAAATTCCATTGCTTCTTTCATAGGTTGAAATTTAGTTTTTAAGGAATATTTAAGTGAAAATACGCATTAATTAATATTAGCCTCACTTTTTAAATTCCTATCATTCTCTGATTTCTTCTCTCTGTCTAACTTTTAAACAAAACTTTCCATCATTGATAAAAAAGTACTTACGAGCTGTTTCCAATTTTCACATGAATTCTATTCTTGTTAATATAAAAATTTCTGGCAAATATTTACCTTTAATAATACCTTCTAACTTGATTCTTTCTTTATTAATCTCTTTGATTTTCACATCACCAGTAATTTGATTCCCATCACTCAAAATTTTTGCAGTTGCTATTTCTTTCCAAATGTTGTATGCTTTGGTTGTACGCTTCCTATCTTCTGAGGTATTATCATACTTCTCTGAAACATTTCTGGACTAACGTGCAGTGAAAAAACTAATTGCCTTTTTTCTTTTCATTTTTTAAACAAGTGTAAGATTGTACTGTAATTGGAAATATGTCTATATCAAGTCGGGAATACAATATTAAAATTATTTTTTAAGTATTGTCAACTTTCACCTGATTACAACAACTATCGTTAAAAATAAGCATTGAGCTTCGATTGTTCAATTATCGAACGGTATTAATTTACTTTACTATTGATATCTTATAAATTATAAATATATGAATAAGATCATAACTAGCAAGTTAAATTTTGTAATCTCATATTTTTGTAAACAAAATTTAAGAAAGTTTCAAATAAGTAATTACTTGATTGCAAGCATTGTGTTCGTAGTACGCATAGGGCCATTACATGATTTCGTGCTTTCACGTAACCGGATGCGCAATGACAGCCAGGATTACAGGTGGATGAACATACCGGTATTGAAGGTTGTCCACAATACTCTGGACATAAGATACCACAAGAGTCCCAGTATGCATGTGGATCGGTGCAGGTGCAACGTGATCGTTTCGAGCTAATCATATCAAATAGATTAGAACGACAGCAACGCTAAAATGTATCTTTTTCTTATGAATGAGTTCTCGTTTTTAATTATCATAATTACTTCATATTGATTCAATCCGAAACATCCAACTCATATGATAGTTTCTTAATTTTTAGCGTTTCTTTTTGAAACCATCGAATAAAAATTCTAATCATTTCTTTCAATAAAATATTGCATCAATTATGTTTTAAAAGAATATTTGATATTACTGTTAATTGATTTACCTGTTGGATTGGACAATCAGAATCAAAATTACAAAATTTTCCATTTAGATCGACTGTTGTAGCAGGACATTCCATCATGTTGGCTGTAAAAATCAATAATTTACATATTTTCATATCTTTACAGATTAAAGATCTAAATCAGCTCTCGAATGAAAAATCACTGTGTGCAAGAATATACCTGAATTGTGGTTCTGCGGACTAAATGCTACTAACAAAGTAGAAATGTTGGTTGTTGGACATTGATTAAAGGGTGTGCATTTAGAGGTACGCCAGTTTATAGCATCTTCAAACACAAATCCTAAAATCTTCAAATACAATATACACTGAGATTGAATTATGATTATTTTATTTAATCAAACGGGTGCAAAATTTTCATCTCAGAAATTTATTAAATTATGCAAAATTTTAGAGGGGAAATGCTGACCCGATTTACAGAAACATCCGGAGACACATGGCGAACAAGTTTGTGGTATTGGATTATTGCAGCCTATTGGGCATGATGAAGCACAAGCCTGATATTCCTTCAATGGATCAGAGCACTGCGAATTACATTCACTGGGAAGTACGCAACGTGAATTAGGATTATGTGAATCAAACAATAGATATGGTTCACGGCAGATGCAACCAGGAGTACAATCACTTGATGTACACTTCGCTTCCGGATTCGAACAACTACGTGCGCATCTGCGAAAGATGGTTTAATTAATAATTGATTAATCATCGAACGTACTCATTGCTTTTTCCGCACCTTAAATTGATAAAATCTTTGCATATCCATTTTGGATTCATATGCAGTAATAAATGTAAAACAATCAAGAAATAAAAGAGAAATAAAGAAGAGAAGAAGTAAATTGTTTGAACTTACTCGTGTGAAAAAACAATTTGAACTTACTCGTATGAAAAACAATGTGTCCATTCTTTACGAGGATCAGAACAAATGTGCTGTTGAATTGTTAATGATTGACATTGATGTGGTAATATACATCGTGAATTTAAATTATAAGCATCTTGTAGAATATATGGATTACGGCAGAAACATCCAGCAACACATTGAGTACCGCAGAAACCAGCAATTTGATTATTGCAACCAACTGAGAGAAAGCAAATGGTTGCAATAAAGGAGAAGTGGGAAAAACAAATGAAACAAACGACTTTTTTCGCTGAATCATTCATTTACATCTTTTCTGGAGTTTGAATTTCTATTTCCTTTGTCTTCATAATTTATCTTATAGTTCCCTTATGTGAAACAACATGGCTACGTGACTACATGTAAAATAAAATGGCTACGTGACCACGTGTAAACAACATGGCTAGGAGACTCTACGTGTAAAACAACATGGCTACGTGACTACATGTAAAACAACAAACTGTGATCATGAATTATGTAAAAAGTGGAGAAAAATATGATAACCTGGACAGCCAGAACCGCAAATCTGGAAATTCTTTAATGGATCGCTGCACTGCATTGCAGTCGGTTGAGTAACGGAATCCTCGTGATGTTCACGAGATAGACGAGAGTTAAGGGTCAGAGGTGTCAGTGGTGCAAAATAAATGGTAGCATTGACTGGATAATGGTTTTTAATTAACGGAGGACAGTATATGGGTAGGATACATCTGAAATTTAAACGGTTTCCTTCATTTTCAACTCCAATTCAAATCTTAATTAAATCAATTAAATCTCGAATATTTGTGTTAATTGTTAGAAATTATGATTCAATATGAATAACGAAAACAGGCCAATCTAAATTACTCGTTAATTTGAACTCTTGCTCATTCCTCGCTGTCAAATCAAAATCAAAAATTGCCTAACATTTTAGATTAAAGAAAACGTTTATAATTTATTGAAGATCAGTTAATTGAGTAGCCAGCATCATGCATGAAACCTGGAAAGTGTTCGAAACTCTCCCAAATATTATAATCAAGATATAACTGGACTGAAAATCATAGGAAATGAGTGGAAATGTTCTTTACCTGGAATGGATCGGATCGGCGCCATTCTCGAGAATATATGGAACTTTACAAAAACATCCCTCTACACATCCTTCAGTTTTGCATTTTTCTCTTTGAGATGTGCAAGAAATTGGACAAATTGGACCACAAGTTCGATATTCACGTAAGGGATCGGTGCAACGTCTTTCTATTTCAGTAATTTGTTGTGGGCATTCATTCTCCGGGATGCACGGTGAACGTTGATCATTTATTTTACGAATGAAACCTGAAAAAGATGTTATTTTAAATTTTATTTTAATTTCGATCAATGTACTTATTATATAGCTATTTGTACTCTTCTTTTTTAAGGATAAAATTGTTTGAAATGAATAATAGTGTGCTGCGATATGTGAATTAGTAATTCTTATTGACAATCTCTTACTGATCAGATTTTCCACTTTCATAATTAGCTAAATCTTAAGTTCAATTTCGGATAAAAGAAATCATTTTTTTTTTGATGTCAAATTTAAGTTATTATTAAGACGAAGAATATTACCCCGAGCTCCAATCATTTTATCTTTCATTATCTATTAATTTTTAATTTTGTAATTCATATCCAAAATGTTTAGATTGCATTCTAAAAATGGAAGAGCGGAATGATATGCTGAAGTTTAACACAAAACTTAATCTTCCAAAGAAGCGCAAACCTGGTCTACATTGACATCCACTCTTGCATCGTTCAATGAAACATGGAATCGGTTTTCTTGAAAAGCAAGCTGGTTGACACTCATCAATACACTCAACAAATTGTTCATTTTCAGCGCATATTCCTTTCATCGTTGCTGAATTTGACGATGAAGGATGGACGAGTTGTGGTTGAAAATTGATTTGACAAAATTAAATAATTTGATTTAATTTTTATCTTTTCATTTTCGAAAATTACTTATGAGTGATAAAATCAGAAATGTTTCATATGCGAAGCATTGATTGTTGACAACTTTTCAGTATTGATTGGTTACTAGCATTAATTGCCGCGTAATTTTTGAATATTAACTACTAAATCAATGTGAGCTAAAAATTCTGAATTGAAATAATTTTTAAAGATGATCTAGTAAATTTGGGTAACAAGTAAATAAAAAAATAATAGAATAAGTAAATATTTCTCACTGAAGAAGCGCAAAAGTAAGGAAGAAATTATTACCAGTATTAACTGTAATATTCGAGGAACAAGCTAATCCACCAGTTAAAACTGGACAACATTTCTGTGAATCCGAACAATCACTATCACAGTGACAAAATTTCGATGTGCTAGTAAGAGATATCGGTTGATCCGGACATCGTCCACTTTTCATCCATAAACATTTATCATCAATTTTATTACTTATATTCTGAAGTTCCTGTTTTGGCTCCGAACCTTGTCCTTTATACAATACAACGAATGACTGGCTCTCTTGTTTTGAACTTGTTAAATTTTCCTGTTTTCGACGCACTTCAATACGTTCACGCTTCTCATCCAAAATACGCTTAACAGTTAATCGAAATGTTTCGCATGCTGCATTCAAATCTGCCGTTTTTGGTTTTAATGAAGCAATAATTCGTCCAAATCGTGAAACACACCAGCATTCTTCAGTTCCGATACGGCATTGTACCGCACGATAATATTTTCCGGATGAATCACATTGCGGAATATGTACACCAATAACATTATTGGTTGGCAGATTATCCAGTACACGACGTCGATGCTGCGAACAGACTATAAAAAAAAAACGCTGTTTATATATTTGAATGGATTACGAGAATTGCTAACTTTCTAAATTTATCATCAGAAATGACTAATCTGAGCAACCTGTGCAACATTTTCCCATTACACAAATTTCACCGCCAAGCGTACAATCCTTATCATCACTACACTGTTGATGCCATGGAGTTCCATCCGGACACATTCCTAACTTTTCGGAATCATATTTAAAAACTGAAACACCAATAAATTTTGTAAAAGATTTTTTTGCTTTATGAAGTCTAGCAAAGGAAAATAAAAGTAGTTGCTTATATATCCGTATCCAGAAAATAACTTTAGTTCGATAAACCAGGAGCTATATCGGAACTTTTCTATTTTCATTAACTAAACGTAAGATTCAAGCTATCCGGAACTTCATTCTCTTCAAGCACTGCTGAATATTTAGCAATTTCAATTTCACATTTCTCTCATTAAAACTTTCATATACTTATTGATTAATCTCGAATAGCTATAAAATTGTAAACGATTTCGATATTAAATATTATTCAATAACTGTTCCTAAATAACAATTATTATCTCTAAATAAATAAGCTGTCCCTAAATAATTATTAAATAAATAATTATTGTCCTAAATAAATAATTATTTACATCAAAACTACAATAAGATCTAAAATAATGCATACTAATATCATCATTAGATAACGCTGATAATCTCCTGCTAAATTCACTTGTCGGACAACAGAAACTCTGTTCAGTACAATTCTCGTCAACGAAGCAATCGTTTGAAGCATTACATCTATAGTAGGAGTAGCGATCATCAGAGCAATTAATACATGTTCCTTGCTCCTCACAGATTCCTTGAAATTTTTATAACCGTAAAATAACATTTGTTAAATATCAGTCATTTTTTTATAACATTTTAAATTAAAAATTTGATTCCTTAAATTCCTTCAGAAATAATTATTTGATAAGAATAGTAAAAAAAAAGTAAATGAGCAATTTCAACAATTTTTATTTACTTATTATCAGTAACATTATCCATTCATATTATTACTATTATTGTTATGATTGTTTTTATCACTGATAACACAAAACTATCAATCTACCACTTTGACAAGCTAAAAAGAAAGAAATTCTTACTTCGAAATCTTTGTGATCTTATAGAACAAACAAATAAAACAGCAAGAAATAAAAGTATTTTTGCGCAATTCGTCATGAGTAACCACCAAATTCGATCAAAATAATTTTGTATATTTCTATGTGAAATTTTCTGCAAAAGTAGTAATTATGTTGAAAAATGAGGGTAAGAAGAGATGATGAGTAATTGGAAATGAGGTTGTTGAAGGAGGAGATGAAAATTGAGGATGAAGATTGAGAAGAGGAATAGGAGGAATAGGAGGAACGGGTGGAACAGGAAAAGGAAGCGGAAGAGGAATGGGCAATTTGGAAAAGGTAATTTTGTTGGAAAGGAGAAATAAAAAAGTCCTTTACAATTTGTTCAACATTTTTCAAAACTTTTTTCATTCATTCCTTTCATCATTTCTTTTTCGGCAATCTTTGTTAAGAGATTTTTTTATAAAAGGAGAAATTCAACAATTGAGTGATGTTGTAATTAGCTTTTATTTGAAAATAATTAATTAAAAATAATTAAAGATCTGTTTTTCCTTTTTGAAAGAATCGTTTTTAATTTTCAACAAGAAAGCGATGTATCTGATTATTTAATTTCAGTTTTCAAATACTGAATTTATAATTCAGTAAAGCATGAAACTGATTTTTTTCGAAAAATAAACTAATTGAAATTACTCCCTATTAGGATTACTTTTCCCGTTTAGTTTTCTTAATTAACTTGATAAATTAAAGATTTGAAATAACAGAGGTAAATGTTGTTGAAATGAAAAACAATAAAAACTTCATAAATTAAATAGCTAACGATGTAATCAATGTTTTGTTTTTAGAATTAATGAGCTTTATGAAATAATTAATCGATACGAATCTTAACACTTAACATATTTCATACACATTTTTGATACAATTCAAATTTTGAATTACTTTTTGAGAACAATTTTTGCTTAATGTCAAAATTTAAAGCTAAACTCATCAATTAAAATAAATTAGTAGAAAATAAGTAACAAACAATGTTTATGTTAATTGATAAGTTTAACTTCAAATTTTGGCACATATTTATTTGGGAAGTTTATTGAGCTAGCATAGCATTTAATTGCATACATAAATATCCGGATAATCAATAGGACGACAAATAGCAAGAAGGATTTAATTCCGGAGATGAAAGATTGTATGAGTGGAAGAATAGTTTCAAAAATCGGGTTGAGGTCAATATATTTATTCATTCTATATAATATTAAAACTCTCATCGGAGCTCCATGAAAATAGCCTATAATCCATCTTTACATGCCTATCTATCCTTTTCAAATGATTCAATTTTATGTAGTAAAAATATGATGAAATGTACTACCACAAATTCGGCACCAAATTATCATATATATTAAAATTCCGAATGTATTGTAATGAAATGTTTGAAGGTTTGTTATCGAAATATTTAGCTACAACTATTGAATATTACAATTGTTGAATAAAACGAAATTTGTGCATAGTTTATATCCAACAAAAATTGGCAATAAAACGAATTTAATTTCTAATTTAAATTTTCTAATAATATTAAAATTAAAAAAAAAATTAATTCAAAGGACAAAAGAAAACAATAAAATTAATTAATGACAAAACATAAAGAAATTGTTGCCTTCGGTTTTTTTCAATTTTGCTTAAAATAAAATTTCAAAATTTTAAATAAAAAACCTTTTGTTTTTTCAAAAAATTCAATTATTTAATTTATTCAGTTTTTAATTTCATTAATATTAAGATTTTTGCAAAATTATGACAATAAAAATATGCAATTGTTTTACAGCAAATATTTTTTAATTTTACTTAAAATTAAATTTCAAATTTTGAATTAAAAAATTTTTTATTTTTTCAAAAATTCAATTATTTAATTCTTTCGGTAATTAATCTAATTAATATTAGAGTTTTTGCAAAATTTCGATAATTAATATTTTATTATTTTGCAGCAAATAATTTTATTCGAAAAAATTTTTTATTTCTTCTATAAAAAACAATTATGCTACAATGATCTCATATCTGTTATTTATTATTTGATTTAATAAAAATGAATTTTTCGATTAAGTTTCAACTCTTAATTGTTATTGCAGCATTTTATCAGTAAGAGTAAATATTATGTGCATTGTGACAGATGTTTTTATTCGAAAAACTTTTTATCATTATCAATTTTTATCACATCTTATCATGATGTCTAATGCAACAGCAATATTTATCATTTTGCTTCTTATTATCTAAAAAATCTTTTATTAACAATATTTTTCTGCATTTGTGTTGTTTCTTTTTTTTGTTTGTTGAAGTGCAGAAATTTCAACAAAAACGAAAGAATAATATTTGCTGGTTGTAAATATAGTTTATTTGTAATAGTATAATATAGCTCAATAATTTCTATAAATTAAAAGAGTAAAATTGAAAAGTATTCCCAAATTTTAATTTACACATTTATAAAATGTGTTCATTTATATTGTTAACAGCTGTTTAAAGCATTTAGTAATGTGAATTTAATTTTAATTCATTAAATAATACCCTTGTTGATATGATGATGTTGGATAAAAGATTTTAAGTAATAAGTGAGAATTTTTAAAGGAGTAAGAAAATTTGTGCTTGAAGTATTTCTAGCAAAACTTTATGCATTCATTCTTCTTATCTCTAATCACTATCACTTTCTCTAGCATTCTTCGTTATCGAAATTGTTTTCTAACTAATTACACTAATATGAAAAGCAGTTGCTAAAACAAAATCCGTTCGTTAAAACTTTTCATTCCAATTCATTTACCTTCTTCCCACATGTTATCAGCTGTTTTATTTATCATCAAACTATTCAATTAATTTGTTTATTTTTGATTTAATATTGATTGAAAAAAAAAATAATTTATTAATTTCTAATTTTTATTTTATCCATTTTTTTTGTTGTCAAAAATTTGATTATTTTTGTAAACATTGTTGTTGTTGTTGTTGTTGAGAATTTCATTACTTTCCTTTAATAAATTCTTTAAATTTAAAATACACAAAAAAATTGACTGCATAAAATTCAGGGGAAAAATTAATTTACATTTTTAGTGCATTTTATTTTTTGTTTGTAAAATATTTTGCTACTGATTAATTTGATGCAATTAAATTTGCTGATCTTTTCAGGAAATCTTAATTTACTATTCCAAACAATATGATAAATTAGCTTTTAGTAGAAAGTTGTAAGAATGTGAAAAATTCAGACTGAATGGAATTGTAGAAATTTTCAGCTTAAAAAATTTGATCAGTTAATTTTATTAATTAATTATAAATTTCCAGTTCATTAAAAATTCAAAAATCAATCATTGCTAGTATGTTCAAAATGTGATCTTACAAATTAATTATTAATTAACAATTTTCTACTAACTAATTAAAAATTTTATTTACAAGAATTTGAATTTTTTTCTTTCAAAATTCCATAGCCGATTTGAAATGAAAGAATGCAAACATCAGTTAACTCTATTGTTTTTATTGATGAATTTTCTTTGAAGTATCTAAAAAGCAAAACTTCAACTTTACTAACTGTTTTTTTGCAGTAAAATTAATTTATCGTTCAATTACATTTAATTTTAATTGCCATTTGTCTTTGTTCTGTTGTTTTTGTTTTTCTTTAGCGTATAGTTGTAATAACAATATATTATGGCGGAAAAAATTACTTCATGTTGAAAACGATCAGAAATTTTTCAAACTTTTCGAAATGTCAAACTTTTTTTTCTTTTTACTTAAACTATGAAAAATTTTCCACAAAAAAAATTCGTAGTTTATTTCAAATTATTTATTTCTAAAATTTAGTTTATTTCATATAATTTATTCCAATTTAGTTTATTTGAAATCAGTACAGTTTTTTTTGTTTTTGATAATTATCAAATTATTAATTTTGGAATTAATTTCATTTATTTCAATAATTTATTTCAACGTAGTTTATTCTAATCAGCGCAGTCTTTTTTGTTTTTGATAATTATCAAATTATTAATTTTAGAATTAATTTTATTTTTGAAAAACCAACTGAAATTGCTAATGATTGAATTGAAAAGTTTCGGAAATTTTGTTGGAAAAAAGTTTGCTAAACATTAGATATGATCCACTTTACTCCTATTCTTTAAATCTAAGCTATTCCAAATTCTCATTTACAATTAATTTTTATTGATATGAGAAAATGATTCTTTCACTAAAACTGGAACTTTTAAAAAAATGAATTTTGTCTTAATTTTTTTTAATGCTATCTTCTACAACTTCTGCAATTTGTGATCATAATATTATTTTGTATTAAATTAATTTCATTCACTAATACCACTTCAGGATACTATATCTCTAGTCCTATTTCAGTATATTTCAAATTACTTTTAAATGCGTATTGAAATGATACATATCTAAATGAAGACGATAAATTTAAATGAATATCCCTATTCTAAATATATTTATTAGTCTGTAATGATTAATATCATAAAAAATTATTTTCACTTTTATTTAATCTAAGATTACAATTACGATGAATAGCTAAATGATGACTATTGATAAAACAGTGGAATTCAGCGAATTGAATCATTTGTTGCTTTAGTTTTACTATTATCTGATCGAATTCGATATTTAGCAGATTGCGATATAACATGCGTGATATGTACATACACAATGAATTCATGTTTATAATATCGATATGATATAGCATGCATGATACGTACATACACAATGATCTAATTTATGTTTATAATATCGATATGACGTATCATGCATGATATGTAAATGCACAATGATCTAATTCATATTTATAATATCTTTAATTTCATATTCATAATATATAATTCATATTCACAATATCTCTCATGCATATTTTAGTAATAATTTTAGTTTATAAGGAATAGCAAAAAACGAACTGAAAAATTTTCCTATAGATTCTAAAGGTATAGCTTCCCGGAAATTTTTCTTATTACTTCTTCTATTTCCATAATTTCGCATTTTTGCATAATTATTTTTTCCGGTAATTCAATTTAAAAAAAAAGCATGATTGCATAATTTTCTTTCTTAATATATTCATTCATTTCATTCAGGAAAAAATTAAACGGCAATATTACGGCGTTCGTTCGATTCGTTTCCGTATTTTTGCACTTTTTTGCACTTAAAGCATCATATGATTGTTTTTTCTTCTCTCGTAATTGTGCAACAACTAATTAAAACAATTTATAAATTCGAAATTTTTGCAGTTTATCAATTTTGCCAAAAACGAAATTTTCCAGCAGTGTGTTTTTTACCAAACTTTTTTAACGAAATTATTTTGCGAATTTAATAAATTTTTACGGTGGAATATGAATATTCAAATTTCACTATCATTCAATGTTTAATTAATGTGATGTTATTATCAGGTAAGCTATTTTATTTAAATTAGCTTTTATGGCAGAAAAAAATTTGAATAAGTTTTTTCTTCACTTTTTCTTTTCTTATAATGATAATGGTAGTTGTTGTTTTATCATGCTTATGATAAGTGATAGAAATGCAATGTCTTGCAAACCATTTAAAAGCATCATTTCTGCAAAGTTGAAAAAATATTATTGCAACAATAACGAAACTCTTATCGTCTCTAATATTGTTGAATTTTAATTAATGTGAATTAATAAAATTTTTTAACTTTTAATTAATGAAATTTTTTAATTTTTAATTAATGAAATTTTTTATTTAGTAGCGGTGGGAGTGTTAAAACAATGGCAAGTTTCATCAAGAAAATAGTTGATCGTGCTAAATCTCCACCAAAATCACCAAAAAAATATCAAAGAAATGATTGTGAGCTATGGAAACAAATGAAACAACGGCAACAATCTTCTTATTACGGAACACCTGCCGGAATAGCTGATTATTTCATGCATCCGAAATATGAATCGCAATTACAGAATCATGTAAGCATTTCTTGTTTTACTTAAATCAAAAGTGAACAAAGTGAGATTCGATAAATTTTCCTAAGAGATAGATTCGCAGGAATATTTTTATAACTTCAACGAGCTGTTAGATATAGTTGTCAGTTCAAGAAACTGCTCTCGAAAGTAGTAAACATCAGTCTTGCGTAGTAATTTGAGTGATAACAATGATTTTTATTGAATTTTCAATCCAATAAAAATAGCTTCACAAATTTAATTAATATTTGTTTATTGCATTCCTCGGCAACATTAACAGTCTTGCCGTTTCCGTCTTTAAAATCACTGAAATCAATAAACACCGCTGAAAGCTCTTTAAAAAAAAATTTATTTTTAATCAATGATATATTGAAAATGCTTTTCGATCCTAAATACTTTTGTTGGTATAATATGAAAGTGCAAAGGAAAACATTTCCGAAGATTTAAGATTTATTCTTCCGGAATAAATCTCAACATGTTTATGTTTCCTTCTAATCCTCCTTCCGGAAGAACATAACCATGTTGAGTTTGCTTTAAGATGTGAAAGTTCATAGGTAGTCGGCTTGGCGGCTTTTGTAAGACGCATGCCAACTAATTGTGTTAAAAGATGACCTTTTATCTATCTGCCCAGGATATAATTACAGAACGATCGCGACAGGATAAATTCTATGTATTTTTGATTCTTCCAAGTTAATAACTACAAAGCTAATAGAAATAATTTTCTACCTATTCTTATCATCTTATCGTTTTGATAATATGCAGGAAGGTCATGAATGGAATGTATATCCAGTTGATATAAATCCTCACTCTACCGCAATTCATCAATCTGATGATATCACTCATCCAAACAGCAAATTAAGTGTTTCAAAACGATCAAGTCCGATTCATCAACATGTAAGTTCTGAATACTTCGTATTCGCATCATCTTATCGTTTTGATAATATACAGGAAAATCATGAATGGGATGCATATCCAATTGATATAAGTCCTCGTTCTACCACAACTCATCAATCTGATGATATCACCCATCCTAACAACAAATTTAGTGTTCCAAAACGATCAAGTCCAATTCATCAACATGTAAGTTCTGAATACTTCGTATTCGCATCATCTTATCATTTTAATAATATACAGGAAGATCATGAATGGGATGCATATCCAATTGATATAAGTCCTCGTTCTACCACAAGTCATCAATCTGATGATATCACCCATCCTAACAACAAATTTAGTGTTCCAAAACGATCAAGTCCAATTCATCAACATGTAAGTTCTGATTATAATACTTTGTATTCGCAGGAATTTTATTAACACAATTTGAATTGAATTTAATTAATAGTCAAAATTTAAGTAAATTTCAAATATTAATTTTGATGATATACAAAAGTGAAATTGAATTAGGATTTATTTTAAAAAAAACAGTCGAAAATTTTTGATCAAAGAAAAAAGAGTCAAATTGCAATTATCAAATTAGCTATTAACTACTTTTATGTCTATGTAAAATGTATCACCGCTTTAATTCCTTCTTCACTAATAAACATTTTAAACACTTTTAAAGAGTGATACAGCGAATAAACCTAACGAAACGCCGCCGAACTCATTATCCACTCGGGCAAATAATTGGGAATATCATTACAATGCATTAGTTAAACGAAACGATATTAATTCGAAAAAACAACATATCAGTCGACCGCGATCAAGCAGTCCACCGAAAACAATGCGATCATCGATTAATGAAGTCACCAAAAAAACTCGCTCAAAGTAATTTTTTAAATTCTAAGATTCGTTTTAGACAATATTTTTCCAATGGAACAAATACTACGACAATTTCCGATCATGCAATTATTCGTATATCGCTGTATGATTTTTTAATCACTCATAAACTTATTTAAAAAAAAGAATTTTGATTGTTTTGATCATTTGCAAAATCATTAGCTAAAATTTTGATCATTAGCAAATTAATGATAATTATTTGAAATAATCGGTCTAGTTATGCTGTAATTTTTCAGGTCACGAACTGAAAGAGTTCCAGAAATCTCAGGAACTTTGGATTATTTATCACCAAAATGCCAATTGGGAGGATGTTCGGCAACACTTATTGTTCAGGTTCTTTTGTTTTCAATCATTAATAATCAATTAAAAGCTTTTGCAAACTTTTTCTTATGATTTTCTTCTTTTAATCATTTTATAGTGAATTCATTTATTTCATAGACATTTCATTTTTCTATTAAAATATTTAGAAATTTGATGTGATTATAGGATACAAAATTTTTGGTCTGTAAACATCAACTTTCTCATGTCAGCGATTATTTTCGAGCCTTATTTTCGGATGACAAATCAATACCCACATCGGGAGCTTGTCATAATTCATGCAATGAATTCGCCGTTGTTGTTTCATCATTTAAACATCCTCCACCAGCTATGCAATTTAAATGGTTTTTGGAAAATACCATTCGGACATCTACTTTTAGCGATATCACAGGTATCACACAAACAACAAATCGATTGAAATTTAAATTAAATATGTCAATTAAGAAATAAATACACCTTAATTTGTCAGAACTGTTATTTTGATTAATAATAATTTGATCAATATTTAACTATAAAAACAATCACAAAATATTATTCAAACGTATTTGAATAAATTAAAACATTCAAGTATTTTAGCATTTTTGGAAATGAAACTACTAAAAAAATAGCTTTACAAAAATTTTTTAAAATTTGATTTTTAAAAATGAGTGATTTGAAAGGTCATAAGATTAGTGGTTGTGATTATAGATGATACATTGGAGACATGTATGAGGTTATCAAAACGATTTTGTGCTAAATACTTGGAAGTGAAATGTGCCCGATATATTCAAGTTAATGTGAGTTAATCAAATTTATACTTCTTAAGTGAATTATTTGGATAGTTAATAGATAAATTACAACTTGGCATATCTGAACTACTAATTAGTATTTAGCAAGAACTTCAGTAAAAAAAATAAATTAGTAAAATTTATAATGCAACAAAGTAACCCTTGCTAATTTTTTAAATTTTATTTTTCACATTTTTCGGTCGAACTTGCCACATAACACTTCAATACTTCAGTACTACATGTTGATATATGATGATATGATAATAACATTAGAGATTAGCAGCAATGGAGAAGTAAAAAAATTTTTTTGCAATTTAAATTTAATAATACTCAAGTAATGAGTCAAAAAATTTAACTCAATCTTTTACTCTTATCTTAAATTAAATTTTATTTTCAAATATATTTAATCATTTCCAAAATTTTCAGGTAGCAAAAAAAACTCCAATGGTAGCACTTTGTTGGTTAAATTGGGTATTAAAACATAAATTTGATCAGATCACACAAGATGCTTGCCTTCCTTGTGTTGCTGCTGCTTCTGTACAGTGTTTGGAAGAACATCGAAATTTAATTTCGGAACGATTATTAGCTGATTTATTGGCAGCTAAACTAAGAACATTATACGACCAGGTTTGGCGCTTTTATCCAATTGAATTTTATTTGAGAGTTATAATTATTGAATTTCATTGATAGCATATTTTTCAATAATAATAAATACCTCTATTAAGAGAATTTCTCCGATATGTTGTTATAGGCGGTAAGTGTCTTCCAAACAATTCATAACATGGATCATTTCTATGTTGATGTTACTACATGTCCAAGTTGTGGACGTCAACGAGAGCAAGGAAAAGTTCGCATACAAGCCAGTCCATGCAGGTATGCTTAATTTTTGATATGCTAAAATTATCGCTTACTTTTCATTTTCTTTGTTTTAAAATTTCACAATATTATAATAATTAAATGAGAAAGGATATTTAAAATTTATTTTATATTCAAAAAATTAAAATTAAATTTTTAAAATTTATTCAATCTAATCGTTTCCTCTCTCTCTCCCTCTCTCTCTCTCTCTCTCTTCAGGAAAATGCTTGGTTGTGAACGATGTTTACGAGAATATGATTGTAATTTTAGCGATAAAGATCATAAAGATGTTCAAGCATGCTATCAATGTGAACATGGTTTAGTAACATTAAATGATCAAACAGCTGACTGTCATTGTCAGATTCCTCTATTAGCTTCACATTTGAAAGGCTTACAATCTTATTTTCTACCACTTGCAAGTCATCACTGATATCTCTCGTTTTTTTTTTTTACTTCAAATCTTATCACATTTCAATTATCATAAATTTGTAATTTGGAATCATCTGTTTTCTCTACCACGTATGTTTCATAAACAATGCTATCATTGTTCAAAAATTAATTCAGCTATCATTTGAAATTTTAATGACGTATTAATAATTTGTCAACTATTCGGATAATTTTGTTAAATTTGAAATAATTCTTTTAAAAGTTTACACTATCGAACTTCTCTTTAGCATTTGTTAAAGTTTTAGTAAACTTTATGAAAGAAATTTTCAAAAGTTATTTAACACATATAAACAAAAACAAAAATTGATCAACTTATTGACTCTGACTATCGCGAAAAATATTAAAACAAAATTCGGAGGAAATGATCAACTGTTACTATAATATCGATTTATTTGTATATCGGCTGAAAAGAAAATTCAGTATTCATTTCAGTTTTTCATCCATATTTCCATCCGTTTGTTATTTATCGGTTTTATCATATGCAATCACATCATGTATTCTTTTTTTAAAAGATTTTCTATCACATACGACGATCGTTAACATCATCGTATTTGTTCATTTTCATATTTGAATAAATATCTCTTTTATATTTCAATACAAAAGTTAATCATATTGAATTAAAAATAATTTAGTATTACTTATGAGCGATGTAAATTTTTCTTCCGGTAATCAAACATTATTCAATTACAAACATCATTCATTAATTTATTAGAAAACTTCAAGAAATTGAAGAAGCTAATCATCCAACATAATCAATTGTATGCCTTGTAAAACCGTTTCCGTATTTATCAAAATAGTGTCATCGTTATGATATTCAGCAAACGCATCCAGTGATAGCAATGATTTTAGCCGTACAATTTGCATTATTTTATCTGCAGTGTATGATGATTCTTCTAAAGTGTAGTTATCAGTAAATGTTCCACGTGTACTATATCATAATAATTTACCCGAAAATATCTCACGAAAACACCACCCTTTATTGGCTTATCTACTTTTCTCCGTATTAAATCATCACGAACCGGATATAAATTTCGCCCCCCGAAAGTTAATAGCACAGTGAATGCCTTTAATTAAATGATGATATATTAGATCATTTTCAATAACAGATAATAACAAACCATACTAATTTAAATACCAACACTTTTTGAAGGATTGGTTGATAATATTTCTTACTGCTTGATACTCAAAAGAGTAAAAATTTATCTGTTGACGTGATCGTCCAATCACTTGCATCCCTTTTTTAACAGATTAGAGTTATCAAAGAGAATGAACTAAATGATATGCAAAGCATTTCTTTTCTTCTTCTTTACTTTCACTTTAATCCTTTCCTGAATTGCTACTTTTTTAAGCTACAGGAAGAAAAATTAAATTAAAAAAAGCTCACCATTAATTTTAAAAAATCATTAATTGAAGTTATTCTCTGCAGAATACTAAAAAAGCTTACTGATTATTTTTATTTTGCATGTTCTTATAATTACCGGATATAAAACCCTCTGTACTATAAATCTTAGAAAATTCAAAAATTAAATCCTCAATAATGAATACCTGAACATAATATCCATGCTAAATTAGACTGTAGTAACATATCGTGTACAACAAATGGGATCATTTTATCGCAGTGTTTTCATATAAAACAAATCTTATAGACTTGCATGTAAATGTAATATATCATTGATTGAAAAATTACTATTTAATGTACAATGCCATAGTGCTTAAATTAAAGAACGAATAATGAGCGTCAGCATTTATACACGCTTTAAAACATAAGATTGTTTTATAATTTAGCCATCTGTCATATTTCTTTCAATTAAATGGTTTTGTGCAAATATTTCTGATGTTAATCCATAGTCTTAAGCTGAATCAATATTTTGAAATGTTATCTAATAATAAATATGTGCATTTCATGATCACATGACAGCAGAAAGTGAGCATTCATCATTTATTTCATCATAAATCATCTTTGCAACCCTTCTGATCGTTTCTCAAATATTCGCAAAAACTTTCCCTTTGAAAACTGCTTCGCTGAAACTCTTATTTATAAGAATTTTAAGCTTTTTAAAAGTTTCAAATACTAATTCCAGGGCTCGAAAAGGATTACATAAGGAAGACATATGTTAACACACATTGTAAAAGTTGAGAGTTAATAAATTAATGAAACAGTAGAATAAGCTAGAAACGAAACAACCTTCTTCGATTCCTAATGTATAAGCGGAATTCTGCAAATTCCTTACATATTCCATTAACTGATCGGCACTAAACTGCCCAAGCTCTAAACGAACAAGGTGATGTCAATCTTAAAATTCGCAAATGAACCGATTTTTTGAAACTAATACAGGACTCATAAAACTAACTTAATATTTAAGTTAAGCTACATTTCTAATGTCACTTTGAACAAATATTTTTGTGGCATGCTTACCGTTAACAAGACGTACATCTTGTGTATCTAATTCGGTTCGAAAACGGCTTGACCTAAAATCACCAGCAGCCGCCTAAAAAGAACAGTGTAATCCAACAGCACTCTGCACAGCATACATAAACGTGATAAATGGATACCAAATAAATTGCAATAATTACTTCGTGAAAACTTAAACATAACTTAAAATACGGTGATAAAAGTTTGCCGAAAAGTTACATAAAGGTCAAGGAAAGTCATAATCAATATTATTTTAAGATACACAATATAACACTCACTGAAAAGTTTGGAAAAAAAATGATAATGAAACAAGCTGCGTAATTAGATTATGGATGTACTTCGTCAGTTATCAACATGAAATACTCGAATAGCCGATAAAATTTATTTTCGGTATCAAACACTTCAACGTGCAAAATATTAATTCCACCCATATTCCTGAACTGTTAGAAACATCGAATTACTGAAGTCAAGTTGATGACTAACTGACAAAGTATAACCATAAATCTTACAGTTAATGTTCTATTCATATCCCAAGCGCCAGGTACATTTTCTGGAAAAAGTTCAGGTGATTTCCGATGGGCGATATTTTCATTGCAAACAAGATTTGTATTTTTCGGCTTCTCAACCGCCTGATTATCGTCCATTTTCTGAGAAAAAGAAAAGAAAAATTTAGTATTTACCTCAGAGCGATGCTAGCTGATCGACAAGTACTAACAAACAAGCTACCATTATGCATACATATATATCTTTAAGAATACATTCAGAATATCTAACTCATGAATTCTTGCTTTATCATTTGCAAAAATGATAAGTCTTCATCTGTCTCTAATTTTATGTTTTTTTTGGAATGGAAATTAAACAAAAGGATTTTAAAATGAAACAATATCCAATAAGAATTCCTTTAAATTTCACATAAAAAATCATCAACCCATACCTAACAATAATCAGTAGTAACACGTCAAACCACACGTGACCCCTCGGACGATTCTCAGCACCAAATCTTTATTCAATGCAAATTGTCTTATGTACGAGTTAGTTTTTACAGCTCGGCCCTGAATTTACAAATTTGAAATTGAGAGCATAGAACTTTTTACGTGGAATTATGACTCGTAGAAACCTAATGAATGTTGGAGTGAAATGTGAAAGGTTAGAAGGAATATGGGGTCAGGCAACAAGTCAAGCGAAGTGGTCATGGAATGTAAATGGAGAAGATATGAGTAGTGCACGAAAGCAAGTAGAGAAGATAGAGTGTGCAACTGAATGGTATATTTTGAGAAAACTTACCATTTAGAATAACTAACTAAATATAAACATGCCATGCAGATGGGAAAGGAATGTAACATAACAACACTAATACCGGTTACGACACTTTTTGGTTCTAAACTGGGATGAGGCATGAATTTCTATCTTTGCAGTATGCCTAAGCCTAAGAAGCTGCATTTGGAGCCATCATTAATCAGTAATTTAGTTTCCAAAAATTATACAATTCCAATAAGTAAGAATAAATTTGTATTATGTAGTGATAGTGGAGAAGGATTGTGGTTTGTGCATTAGCAATGAAAAAAAGTTGAAAAGGTTAAAGTTCTCTTTTACTTATTAAGTATGCCATTTTCTTTTCTTGATAATCTTTAAGTTTAGTATGTAAATGATATGTAAATGATAAATTGGGCTGTTTAGTGTGTAAATGATATCAATCTTATATAACTGTCATCATTTAAGTGAAATAACTAAGAGATTTCTTTTTTTAAATTGATGAATTTTTCCGGATAAGTTTGTTAAGAAGAGGATGGAGAAGAGTCAATCCGGTGAAGTGAACAGATATGAGTTATCATTGAAGAATTCTGAATCACTAATTTTCCTCCTCATTTCTTGTCTCATTTCCAGTTCTAATCATTTTTAAATTAGGTAGGTCTTTGCTTAGATCATACTTCAAATAAGTCCGAAAGACGACTTCTTTAAGCTAATTCTTTCACAAACTAATCTAGACATATTTATGTATTAGTTTTTTTTAAACTTCTTTAAGCTAACTCTTTTATAAAACTAATCTAAGCATATTTTTTGCAATTACTTTCATGTTTCAAACATTATTTCATGGCAGATTGAAACATGCAAGCCTCATGTGATACTTTTTCTCCAATATCGATTTCTTTAAATTTTAAAAACAAATTCGCCACCTTAAAAATTGACTTCTCAGGCTAACCTTCAACTTATTTCATTTAATTCATAGATGATACAGGATTAACGATCACTTATGAAATATGTCAGTCGATTAGAAGTAATCATACCTATTAAAGAAGACATATTTCATAAGTGACCGTTAGAACATGAGAAATTTAATTTCATAAGCAATCCAAAATTAAACAACGATTATTTTTTCGAACGATCGATTCAGAAATCTGAAAAATTTGGCTAATTCGGATAAGATATTATAATCTATTACGAAGTATAAGCCTTTCACAAAATACTTCCTACAGCTTACCATCATTATTTACAAACTTTTCAAATTGAATATTTAACAACAATTCGACAAGCTAACAACTCTTTTCAAACGACACTTACATTTTATTTATTATAAAAGAAAAATAGCACTTTATTAGAAAGCATAAAAGAAAAAGAGAATTTTTTGTATCAAAACTTTTCAATGAAATAAGCTTTATTTATTAAATAATTTTTTTTTACATTTTAATTATTTAACAATTCTTGCTAATTATTCTTCACTATTTTATTTTCAGCATGAAAGAATTAGTCGATCGATCGATCGATCGATTATTTTTGTGTGAAAAATTTAAATTAAATTAAAAAATTATTTGTTTGAAATTGTTTCTTTTTTTTTTGATTAAATCAAAATGCAATTATCGGCACATTTTATTTCTTGTCATTTAGTATCATCGGAATTTTGATCAGATGGCAATTATAAATTAAATTAAATGCAAATGTAAATTAAATTAAATCTTAGCTAAAATTAGCAAGCACTGATTCTTCGATTATTTCTTTGACATATGCTATCATAGTTTAGCTTCTTCTTCTTCTAATTCCTCTCCTTTTTTTTACCTTTGATAATTATCATAATTATCATTTGAATTCTGTTAATTATTTTAGCTTTTTTTTTCCATATGCTATACCTTTTTATATATTATAATCGATTATACCTTTTTATATATTATAATTAATGCTATTTTCAAGCAAGTTTTATTTAACAATTTCTAATATTGTCCTAATTTCCAACTAAAATCTTATCACTCCTAAATATCTTCTTCATTATATTATCTCATTTTCTTTTTGTTAATGTGATAATAATTATATCGAAGTGATAAAACACGAATTTGCATCATTTAACATAATTTATTTTTATTTCATATATATATATATTCATACATATATAATTATCATAATTATCATTTGAATTCTGTTAATTCTTTTAATATATATATACATATGTATATTACATAAATGCTAAGTATTAAATGAATGAAATAACTCCAATTAAGCTTAAAAGTGATTGAATAAAATTAGAAAGGAAAATTTCCCGATACTTGAATATGCTTAAATTTGTTTATTTCATCTATTGATAAATGATATTATAATGACATTTGAAATAATGCATTATTATCATATCTCTAAACATTCATTAAATAAATTTAAGCTTTAAAAATTTTTCTTTTTTCTTATCAAACTAAATACTTCATTTATCTTGTGATAAAATGAATTACTGTAATTCAACGTTATTGGAAGTAAAAAAATTAGATCAATGTTTAAATTACAATTTAAAATAAATGAAAAAGTTAATTGCACTTTATTAAATGATAAGTTGATGACAGTTGAATTATGTTTTATTAACTGAATTATTTCCATCATTATGTATCTTTTTCTTTCGTTCATTTTCTATTTTAAAAAGAAATGATTTTTCTTAAGGATAATATTCGTATGCTTGTAATTATTATTATTATTATTATTATTATTATTATTATTATTATTATTATTATTATTATTATTATTATTATTATTAGCAGATTAATGCTAATATTATTCGATGAGAAAGAATAATTTCTTTTTGACAATAATTCCAAATTTTTACTTTTATTTTTCCTCTCTAACAATGATACCATAATATCTTCTAATTCTCGTTTTGGTTGTTTAAATATTGAATTTAACTAAATGATAACAATTCGATATATCAAATGATGACTAATCTTTGTAAGATTACACATATTGAAAATGACTAATCGTTGTAAGATTGCACATATTGATGTGAACTATTGAAAAAGTTTTGGTTTTTTTAATTAAACCATTAATTTAAATCAATTAACACTCTCTATTCTTTTACTCATTTAATTTTAAAACATCCATAGTTATATGAATTTAACTTTATGAATTGAATTTTTATTTAATTTAAAAATTTTGATAATTACGTGAATTAAATTTTATGAATAACTTCTTTTCTTTTAAATATAAAAAGAAAGATTTGCAATATTTCGTTTAACATTTATGCAAAATTATTACTCTAATCATTTTTTATTTAAGTTTAATAAGCCTGAAATTACATTTCCTTATTTTAGGTCATTTTTATCAGTAAATTTGATTATTATGAATTAACCGATTGATAGATAACTTGACAACAAAAAGATGTCTAAAGAGGGAATGAAATAAAAGGTAAAAATTACCTCTTTTTCTACTAGGAAGGAAAAGCTTTCACCGTTTTGTTTTCTTACAGTGATCTTTTCTAATTTGAAATTTTAATTTATATTTAAAAAAATTAGACTAATTTTTCTTTTTGTTTCTTTTCAGTACTGCTGCACACTATATACTATACCAGTCATCCATTCAAAATTCAGAATATTTCAAGTTACATTTTGTTTTCTGAACTTTTTCTAGATGAAGATAAAAGAGGGGAATTGTGAATTGGAAGATGAAATAGAACAATAACACATCATTCATGACTCATAAAACAAGTAGGCAAATAAACGATGACGCATCATTATTATTTCTATTGTCAAATTCAATCCAAAACGGTTTGTAGGAGGAATGGAAATTTTCAAATTGTCATTTCAAATTTGGTAAATGTTGAAAACAATAATGTGTAAAGTGCTTGATACTTCACATCATTTGCTTTTATGTCCTCTAAGATTTCTCTGAAGTGAGAAAGAAAGGGAAGAGAAGGCAATAAAATTTGTTGTAAGGGAAATGACTAAACTGGGATTAAGTTGTAGAAGAAAATATGCTTAACATAGCAAATATTTTTCGTTACGATAGAAAAACGGTAAGTGATAAGATAGAATATCTTATCATTTACCGTTTTTACCGTAAGATAAAATATCTTATCACTTACCATTTTTCTAAATTATAAGCTCACTTTTTCTTCATTATTTCCGATTAAACTTTTACATCTTTTTCTCCATTTCTGCAAAAATTAAAAAGGTTTTCCTTTCTGTTAAAACTTTAAATTATTTACTATTTTAATGGATCTTGCATTATCTATCGATTATCTTTGAATATCAGATTTCTCATTGATAACCGACTATGTTATCAGCTGTAATCATGCTACTATGGTTATTGTACGATTGAAAATGATGTAAGAATTAATAAATGCTTTCATCTATTTCTTTCTATCCAATGTATTTTTAGGTTTTTTCAAAATCTCTTTTTCTTTGCTTCCTATTTCCTTCACTGTAAATTCATTTCGATTCTTTCAATAATATTTAAAACAAAAATTCTCATTTAATTCTATGCAATTTTTGAAGGAATTATATTTTTTTGAATTCATAATTTCATGATTGAACGATCATATAGTTGTAATATAAAATATGCTACACCCGTGAAATTTTTTCTTCCAGCGGAATCTATTTCTTTTATTTAAACGATTTAATTCCAGGCAAAATATGCTGACAGTTGATCAATATTTCATCTAATAATTAATATTAGTTTAATATTTGATATAAATTTGATATAAGAATTTAGCTTGCATTTAAGATAAGAATGCTAAAGTAAAACGAATTTGATTGGCATAATTATGACAGCCCATTTTCTCACTATCCAAACATATTGGATGAATCTGATAGATATGGGAGAAAAGATAAGGAAATGATATAAATTCTTAAAACAGTTGTCTCAACTGACGCCAAGAAATTGGACAATGACCACTCCAAATACTTTCTAAATAAGATAGCATATTGGTGCTGGAGTAATTTTCTTCGTAGGAATTGTATGCTTATGATTTTTGTAATTAAAAATTTAGGATATAAATATTAAGAAAGGTAGATGTAGAGCGGATACTTGAGTGTATTTATGATTAAAGAGAAAGTGGAATATCTAAATGAAATAGTTCAATGCACCTGTGACCAATGACAGAGCAGAAAAGCAATTAATCAGTAAACATTCACCTGAGTAGCTGTTGATACAATAGCGCAATACGTGATTGTTATAATCTATGTAGATGATAGCTTATCTAAATGTGAGACGATTCCAGTACTGCAGTTTTTGTTATAAAATAATTATCATATTTACTACAACTTTCGAGATTTATGGAAATGTAACAAAAACTATCACTGCTTACTTCC